TAATCACTTCAATCAAACTTTGCTCCTTGTACACATCTCTCACACCTTCTTCTGTTCCTCTGTTTCTGTTCTCAGAAAAACTCTTTCCAGGGTAACTTCTGTTTGGACTTTGAGACTGGTTCCAGCGCGTACGCGCGTAGCAAGCAGTTTTCAACATCTGAAGGACACAGTTGGGAAGTTCTAGGGGAGCAAGAGGAGCCAACAGCGAATTTTATGAACTAGGTTTCATGCTATCTGGACAGCGAATCGGCAGTAGTGCCTGGTTTAACAACTTAAAGAGTTATCGGCAGGAGTACGGGTTGCAAAGCGACCCAAGGTTGCCAGCACCATTCACGCGAGGATGCCGAAAAAAGAATGGTTACGGGATTATTGTGTGCTTCATGTTGATGACATGGAGTTGGACGCATCAAGAGAAAAGTTCAAAAAGTTGGTTCAATTCCTCAGAAGTAGAGTAGAGGATTGAAGATCAAGGTTGAAGGACTTATGGATGAGGAAGAAGGTTCGATGAGTTTTCTGAAGAGAAGTTTCAAGTCAAGCAGCAACGGTGACGTCGAGATCATGATGAACACAAAGTTTGTTGAAGGATTGTTGGAAGTATTGGAACTTCAGAATGCTTACCCAAAGAAGTTACCGTGTCCAGCTGACAACGGGGGAGCTTTTCAAGCAAAGAAAGGAGTTTCTCAACACTGTGGAAAGAAAGGAAAAGAATTTCCAGAAGGATTCAAAAAGAACAAGAGAAAGCGCAAAGGCAAAGAATTTGGAAACGGGATTCAAGAAACAGGAGGTGAAGAACGCGGCACTGCAAGTCCAGCCATGAACTTCGACCCAGACTTGCATCTGCGCATTCCAGGAGCTTCCGCTGGCTGGATGCTGTGGCTCCAGGCTTGGACGCACAAGAAAAAATCAGCAATCATGGTCGATGCGTCAGTGGCCGCACTGGCCCAGCCGACCGAATTGGCCTGAAAGCGACTCATCGGAAATCAGCTGGAGCACTGAGGCAACAACAAGAAATCGTTTTATCGGTGGAGCACCACTTGAGACCCCTAAGCAGCAAATCATGTTTGTTGCACTGGCGAAAGAGAAGTGCTCGTACCCAGTTGCAGAAATGACCAAACCAATGAAGAAAGTCAGAGCAGTTCGAGTTGGCGATGAAGAGTATTTTATTAAAGATATGGAAGATTGGTGGCAAGGCTTGGAGTTCGATGTTCGGTATTTGATGTTGAAGACCCCGCGGAGACCGATCCTAAGGTGTTCTGGGAACCGGGAAGAGGATGGGCTTCCCATTCTACCAGCTGGAGAAAGTGGAAGCCACTTCGAGATGTGATGAGAAGCCACGCCTCATTGACATAGGTGTTTTAGTCTTAAAAAAGGTGGACATAGATCCCCCTGTGGGTAAGATTCACCAGTGTAGTGTCGCTATGTTCACGACTGGCGGTTCAGAAAGAAGCATTGGTTGCCGAGCGCAACTCGTGTGCAAGCAGTTAAATGCTTGGAGTCCGTTCCGTCAGAACACTTATGATCCTTCGACATGTCCGTCTGTGATTCGGCTTCTTCCACACATGTTCGTCAGTACTTTCACTTCAGGCTGGATTCTGAGATCCTTTGACGTTTCCGATGCGTTCCGAATGGTGAAGCAACGTAAAGAACTTTACATCAAGCTTGATGGCAAAGTGTACCGTGTTTGGAAGTGCCTTCTTGGACAACAGTTGGCTCCTATGTATTGGCATGATGAACTTGGTGGAGCACGTGCGGCTTGAATGCGGCTCTAGCGCCACTTGGTTTTACATTCGCACTGAAAAATTCCTTTGCTGGCCTGGCGTGGTCGTGGGCCAGAGTGAAGATTAGTGCTTTTTGGCCTGCTTGCAGCCAGGATCAAGCTTCTGGACAAAGCTGCTGACAGTTTGATTTGTCATTGAAGGAGCGGAAGAGTCGGGACATGTCCTTTGGAAATCTCTATTTCCTCTTCGGCAATGCCATCGGCGGTTGTTCGTTGAGAAAGCTCCGACAGGCCATGGCTGTGCAGCTGCTTCGCAGCTCCGACTTGGGACACTTTGCGACACGGAGGCGAAAAGAGATGCCCCATCTCCAGAAGTGAAGTAATCGCGGTGTTGGAATGCTCAAGCTCTCCCACCTCCCGCCCCGAGGGCGAAGGGACATGTCCTTTGGAAATCTCTATTTCCTCTTCGGCTATGCCATCGGCCATTGTTCGTTGAAAAAGCTCCGACAGGCCATGGCTGTGCAGCTGCTTCGCAGCTCCGACTTGGTACGCTTTGCGACACGGCAGGCGAAGAGGGAATGGTTTTTAGGGTTTAGGGTATGTTCCCCGAACCCAGGGTTCGAACGTTCCCCGAACCCAGAGTTCGAACATAGAGTTCCCCCAGATTTCGAACCCCAGGTTGAACCTGAGTTCGCGAAGTTCGAACCCAGGGTTCAACCCTGAATTCCGATGTTATGTTTACTCCCCCACCCACCCCCCCCGGAGTTCGAACCCAGGTTTCGCGAACATTCCAAAAAACCTATGCTCGTTTCTATAGGGTTGCCACACATCCGCCCCTTCATGTACAGAACGACGACCTACCTACTGACTTTCAAGAGATCAGTACGACAGTAGGACGTGGTGTAATCTTTTTTCCATGCCGTATCGACGGTCGCAGCCTTAGGAAGCGGCCGTGCAGTTGTCCGGCGTGCCTAATCACACCGTTTTCGTTCGTGCCTGCAAGGAATACGCAATGCGCGAACAGTCGACCGACGAAAGCGTGAGAATAGAAAAAGATGCGCCGTGCAGATTCATTGAGTAGGGCGCGTGCCAGCGATATGGTGGTGTTTTCTGACTTGGAAACTCTGTTGCAAGTTGCGCGCGCGCAGTGCTGAGGGAAGCTTTGTGTTGTTGGAGTCGCGCCCCTTGTGTTGGGTTTTGGAAGCTTGACCCAGTGGCTGAACCTCGTAGATCCGTTTAGAACCCCACGGTGCATCGCACTTATCCAGAGTGAAAGAGAAGAGAGCTGTGCAACAGTCATGTTGGCCAAGTCACAGCACGCATTGGTGAAGTGGTAACCATCTTTGGTCTTGGTATGGCGATTTGCTAGCTCCACTGTTGACGCCTTGCTGCCCATTGTGGGCAGTGGCACTGGTTGCTTGACACCAGCACGGTCAAAGCGCACATGCAACCCATGCATCACACGATATTCGGGAGCAGGCCACTTTCTTTTTGGCCGAAGCATTCGTGAAGAAGCCAGAAAACGCTCAAGACATACATTAACAAAATCTAGCCATTGCCCAGATTTCAGTCACTTCAGCCAGCTGTCCTAGTCATCCCAGTTCTGCCAGAATCTCGCATCATCACGGTACCGGCACTGTCCCAGGACAAGCACGGCGCACAGATGTTGTAGATGGATGTAGCTATTGCCTTGTTCTTCAGGATGGATCACTCCTCGGTCATTTTGCCCCAGCTCCGCAATGCGGCACCCGTCTGGTGGGAGCGTGTGGGGACAAGACTGTGGGTTGCCCACTCCGGTTTGCCCTCTTAGTACCGCAGCACGGCCCCGCCCTGTGCAGTGTCACGCTTCTAGACGTAGCGTTGCAGACAGCTGTCCAACCCGGCTAAGAGACTCTCAGGCCGAATGACTTGTTTGGTCAGCATTATTTTCTGTGGTTATATCATGTGCCGCACCGCTCGCACTGAACCGTAGAGAACACATGCATGTTTGGCAGCAGCCGACAATTTTTTCACCCACTCTCGGGGCTTACCGCACAGCTCTTCGAAAGCTCGCTACGCTTTGCACAGACACTGCAACCCTCGCCGATAAAGGAAGTGAGTGCCTTCTCTCTCTTTCTTTCTCTCGCATGCGCATACATGTATTTAACATAGAGGATTGCTAATCGCTGAGCACTTGCAAACTTCTACGTTTCCGTTTCACTTTTTCAGAACCTGAATTTCCTTGTTGGTCATCCAGCACCTCGGGTCGTGAGGGGTTGAGTCGACAGAGGTTTGCAGGGATGCTGGTAAAGTTCGGGCAAGCATTCGGTATCGCCTTCCCATTTCAATACTTTCCGAGCAACGCTTCGCTCCGCACTGCATCTCAGCAACTTTTGCGGACAAAAACTGTTTTTTTTTTTTTTCTTTTTGCTGCTTGCTAGGTTAGCTTAAAATCGACTTCATGTTGCAAAGGGGTCTTCACTCTGCATGAATCTCAACCCAAGCGGGGATTCATCTCGTGTCGGTGCATGTTGATTCGTGGATCGCCGCATATTAGCAGCTGTCGTTTCATGTTTGCGTGCGATCTCGACAGGCGCATTAAACTTCGATGCCAATGAACAATTTGGCAAAACTCGTGGTTTCAACTGCAGCGTGAACCTATTTTAAAGAGGATGTTGCATTGTTCCGTTGTTTGTCGTTAATTATGCCGCCCGATTTTCCGGGAACCTTTTTTCCATTGCCCTTCACACATGTTACCACCTTTTCTTCCAAAGTCCGCGACGATGCGGTGCGGACATTTTGCTTCCGGTTCCGACGGGATTGATTTCAGATTGCTATAGAAGATCAATGAAGATGACTTGAAGAGTTTGTGCGTTGAACACAGAAGTTTTGTAGTCTTCGCGACCCCGAGGTCCAAAGATCCAAGGTGCGGTTCAGGTTTTCCGGATTCCGACGGACACAGGATTGCAGCGTGCCCAGTCGTTTCCGGTCGGGCAACTTGGGCTCGAGCATCTTACGATGCATCGTTTGCAAGACCCGAAGAAGTCCAGCTGCAACTCCGGCGGCTGACGCCAAGGTGCTCCCGCCGCAGATGCCAGGGCAGGGAAGAATGCCAAAATTTTTGTGCCGGTATTAGTTCGGGTTCATCGCAGCAGCCGCTTAAACAGTCCGGAGTTTCGCTAGCTTCCATCCGTTGCCGTTGGCCTCGTCATAACAAAGATCCTACGCCTTCGGGCTTGACGTCTTTCATACAGGCAACGTGTTGCCCAAGACTCCATGCAGAGGTGACGGCAGCTTGGGCTCCATGCTGCTGCTCTTGGAGACCCCGGCGGGGCTCCGGACCCAGCTGAACAACAGACGAAACCCCGACTCACTGAATCAAAGGATTCATAATTTCTTTGCTACGAAAGTTACGGCATTCATCAAATGACCATGTCGAGGAGAACTGTGGTGACCTGAGTGTCTTCGTCGTTGTCGTAACGTAAACATCCTGGTGATGAGAATGTGTGTCCGTTACAGGTTTTCAGGGGTAAAGAACACGATTGGGACCCTGGTTCGTACTGGTATACGTCATACTAACTTGGTCCCATGACAAGGCCTGACAAGAAGCAATAGCGCTATCACCATAAAACGAACACGATCCTAATCGACTCTTTCAATCAGGTATGCGTTGTTCTCCCTTAAGAACAAGAAGCTTCTGAAGGCACGGATGTGGACGGGTTTGACAGGTTCTAGCCTGGTTTCTTGTCGTCAACCAGTGACAGGACTGCGACGTCGCCAAAGTGTGGCTTTTCCCGCAGAAATTGCATGACTGTTCCAGCCGCCAGGCAGACCCTGAGTCCATATACGACTCCTTCAAGACCAGCGTCGATGCACAGCGGCTCGGATATCCTATGGTGGTAGCGAATGTGGGCTCCCGACCAGGGGTTGCGGCTGTCAGGAACCTCAACAGGAACATAGACCCTCGCCCAATGAAAGCTTGACATTTCTGTCTGGGCCCAATCGCCTAAGGTGTTCTTGTAGCAGTAAAGGCATGTTGCCGGATCGCGTACATGATACTGCTGGCACGAATGGCACCGTGGTTTCGGCATAGTCGTAGTCAATCAAAGTAAACGACTGCATAAGAAGCAGCATGCTCGCAACGACCATGATCAGCGTGAGCGGACTCAGAGCACAGACACGCAAGACTGCAACGGTGTTCGTAGTAGTGTGGCAGCATTTGCACAAGACAATATATGCAAGATTCTTAGTTTTGGCATCAGTCTCAATTCCCACAACCATGCAACCACGAGAAAGGTAGGTCGAGCACAAATAGACTCCTGCCGGGAGGTTGGAGGACGGGGAGATTGGTGATGGGGAGAGGGGGGAGAGGTGAAAAGGTAAAGAAGTACGAGGTAGTTAGAGTAGTGCTATTGGTTTGTAGCTCTGTTTCCCCTTCGTCTAGAAGAAGTTTTGTTTCGAGGCGGCAGGTCAGTCTCACGGCGTTCCACAAGTTCGAGGACACCAAGGCGGCGATGGAGGCCCAGGGTTTGCGGATTGCATCGGGATACCTGGTGGCAGCGTGTGTGAAGCGATTCTTGTGTTACTCGTCGGAAAGGTTACCAGTAGCCAGTGCTTCTTGGTCCCGCCTGGCTTGCTTTGAAGAGGCATGCACCGAGCTGACGGAGGGCACTGTCGGCAAGGGCCTGAAAAAGTTCCTCAAAAAGCCAGGTCCTCGGGCATGCCGAATGTCAAAGCCTGAAACCTTGAGTCCACACACGAAGCGACTCCCGTCTTTGGTGTGTTGGAGGGACAAGTTTCCCAGGAGCATTGTTGATGCGGGGCTCACTGAGAACCTCGTGGTCCCGGTCTCAGGTCTCCAAGAGTTGATGTCCGCTCCTGTCCTGTTGCCATTCCTTCTGATTCGGCTTCTGCTGCTACGCAATGACGAGCAAGAAGAACTCCAAATGCAACACCAATACATTGCAGCAACAGGAGCAACAGCAAAAGCAGCAGTATACTAAGTATAATAGTAGTAGTAGTAGTAGTAGTAGTAGTAGTACTACTACTACTACTACTACTACTACTACTACTACTACTACTACTACTACTACTACTAACTACTACTACTACTACTACTACTACTACTACTACTACTACTACTACTACTACTACTACTACTACTACTACTACTGCTACTACTGCTACTACTGCTACTACTGCTACTACTACTACTACTACTGCTACTACTACTACTACTACTACGTCTACTACTACTACTACTACTACTACTACTACTACTACTACTACTACTACCACTACTACTACTACTACTACTACTACTACTACTACTACTACTACTACTGCTACTACTGCTACTACTGCTACTACTGCTACTACTGCTGCTACTGCTACTGCTACTGCTACTGCTACTGTGCTACTGCTACTGCTACTACTACTACTACTACTACTACTACTACTACTACTACCACCTCCTGCTCCTGGTGGTGCTGCTGCTGCACTACATGCAGCACGATCGCCATCGTCGTTATAAATATCATCACCGTCATCATCGTTGTAGTTGTGAGCTGCTGGCTTCGTGGTGTCGTTGCAGTCGTCCTCTTTGACGCCTTCAGCATCTTCACTTGCTGTTCGCACACATTCTCCTGTCGAGGTGCTGGACAAGTCGCTCGGCGTCAACATCAACAAGAAGCTCGGTCTGGAGGTACCGGCCCAATCTTTGGGGTATGTCGACCGTCAAGAAGCGGCATCGGGCCCGGTGGGGGGATGCGCGAAGGTTAGCGTTCTCAGCGAGAACTTGAAGGAGATCATGCGTGGCGTACGCTTGCACCTGCCCGGCTCTCGATGATGACCGTGATTCAACGACTCGTAGCCCTCAGTTTGCCATACGCTATCGGACCCGGGTCTGACATCTGGTGTCCATCCGTGGAAACGCCATGGATCTGAGCAGGGGGAGATGGGGCGCGTCTGATCTTTCCTCACTTCAGTCATGCAGCAGTTTCTGCCTCAGTCTCAGGACTGAGCTGATCGAGGGCCTCGATGAGCAGGAGGCCCCTCCAGACGCGCTCCTTGACAGGGCTTTGACATTGAGGTTTTGGGTGTCAGGCAGATTTATATTCCATGGGCTCTTGTGGTGGGCGTCGTTTTGTCTTCGAGCCTCTTCGAACCACCAACGACTCCACAGAGCCCTTTACATCATCGCAAGATCCCTACAAAAACTGCTCAGAGCAACTTCCTACAGGTGAAGGCAATGTCGCTTGGCTTGGCCCACACGCTGCACCTCGGCTGGGGATCTTGAGAGGACTCAGATTGCTGTGGATGGGGGGGACTTCGGGTGTGTGGCTAAGGGTTAAGGCAAGCCGCCAAGCCCAGGGCTTCTTCCAAACGAGCCAAATCCGAAGCCAGGTCCCGTTTCAAGTTGAAGTTCTCGCCGGACAAAGTTGATACAATGATCATCCAGGTGAGGTTGGGGGACAGATCAAAGTGGCAGAGCGTGGTCCGCGCGCATCGCAGCTAGGCACTCTTCATGTCACTCACTCGCGCGGACAGGCTGTCGGCTTGCTGGACGACCTGGATAAGGAGTTGAACAACTTTGCCATGCGACTCCGCGAGTGGCATCTTGGCCTGCCTTGTCGGCTCTGACCTTCTGAACACTCGGACCTCAAGCTTGTCCTTGAGACCGTTGAGCGCCCAGGTACGGCTGGCACTTTCCAGAGATGGGAAAGATCGTAACGGAAAACCTCGCTTACGCGAAGGCGCTGCGAAGCCTTCGAACTCAGGGCGTCGTTTGGCAGGGAGCCTGTGAGCCCGGCGCGAGCAGCCGGCTCCAAGCCTGGTCAAGAGAGAGAGCACCGAGAAACCAGACACGAACTCAGGCGTAGGGCATGCGTGCAGGGGGAGGGAACCCGCTTTCCCTCACCCCAAACGCCCGGCAAGCAAGCAAGCGAAAGAGAGAGAGAGAGAGAGAGACAGAGAGAGAGAGTCGCGATAAAAGATCGGGTGGGCTTGAAGCCCGGGGGCCTTGACCGGCCCTCAAGCCCAGGAGAGAGAGAGAGAGAGAGCGACAGAGAGTTCCAGGCCCAGGCACGGGCCAGGCTCAGTTCGCTGCTATCGAGTCAGAGGCAGAGTCTCAGCCCTCCAGACAGGCATTCCGACAGCTGAGCGAAAGAGCCATGAGTATCGATTTCCCATCTGATGATTTTCTCACGGACCTGTCCAGAAGACAGGATTTTGGGTGTCGTCACTAGATCAGCACAAAGCCCTAAACCCAAGCTCCAACCCCAAACAGGCTTGAATGACAAGAGCTGAGAGGAAGCCCGACACATGGATGCAGGTGGTGCGTTTGATGGGCCTGAAGACTCGGGCGAAGGACTGGCTTCGAGGGTGGGAGGCTTGACCTGTAGGCTTTGGGATCTTCAGGGCCGAACCGAGCCTTTCAGGACACGGACCTGTCTGAGATCGGAGTCCCCGATGAGATTGCTGCGGAGGCCTCGACAAGTCCTGCGCAAATTCACACAGGTGGTGTGGGTAGTTCCCAAAACCCGATCCACGAAACTTACTTAACAGGTGCATGGAAGAGGTCTTCAGTTTCAGATTCTTGTGAGCAATTACTGTCGTTATTGCTTGGAAGGCGCTCTTGCTGCACTTCTCGTACTTGTGTTCTCATGTGCTTCTTGTTGTCACCAACGATTGCGTATGTGGCACCATTTGTTTGCGGCAATCAGCATTGCGCCATGTGTTGGCCTCCTCAGTCGTGGCCCTGCAGAGAGCTTGTGCGGGCAAATGGCAGGCTGTGCTGTTTCGTGTCTTTGCTCTCGCTCGTGGTGCTCCCAGCTCACGGCTGCATGCAAGTCGTTCCCAGCCGCGCGCCGCGAAAGATCGCAACCAATGCCTTGATGCTGCAGTCGCATCACCGCACTGCAGTGCAAAGGCATGAATCATGGTCTGTCAGAGTCTGTCAATGTCGCGGGTGTTGTTCCATCCTTCTTCCCATGTTGACTGGCGGAAAGTGTACTCCATCACCCCTCCCATGCGCCAAGCACTGCTCGGAGTCTGCGCCGGCACCTGTCGGCAAGGTCCGAGATTCGAACTTGGGAACCTCCGAAATCTTGAACACGAACTTCCGAAAGGGTTGTGTCGTGGTATCATTTGAAGAATCGTCGCACAGTAAAACCTCTCCCAGCCCATGGGAGGTGAGATCTGCGGCAGAGACCTCCATGGTGTGCCTGACCGGTTTCGGAGCATCGGGCGTGTCGTATCTGGCATTGGGGCCTTGTACCTCTGCAGGGTTTACGTTCAAGGAGCGCTGGGGGATCCTGTGCTCTCGCAAGCAGTGGGTGGTAATTAGAGGTGACCGTGGTAGTTCGTCTTCCCTAAACAATGCTGCACGGAACTCCATATCTTGAGCAGTGTATTAGCATCTCCTCATCTCGGGGAGGCTGCTGCAGGGAAGCGGCGGACAAAGTCTTTTCATGCAAAAAGAGTTTGGACCATCGAGTCAAGCTGCAGCTGCGTGCCCGGCTCTACAGACAGAAGGCAGCCTTCCAACCGCAACTGCAGTGCCTGGGCAGAGTTTCATTTCTTCGGAGAATGCATGTCTGCTTGCCATCCGAGCAGACTGCTGAGCTTTTCGAAGAAAGGTCTGTGATGGAGAGGGGGCCGCCAGCTGAGCCGGAAGATCAAGGACGAGATGTGGTCCACATCTGAGAGCAGGAGTTTTCCGAACAGAGCTGTAGCAGTGTCCTCCTTCCGTGCTTGAGGATGCTTGAGCCGCCAAGGCAGACATGGAAGCAGTTCAACCTGCATCAACCGACGATCTGCAACAAGGCCCTGCTGAGGACTCGATGGCGGTGTGGCGGTCCCGTGCCTGAGCCTGCAGTTAGACCGACTGAAAGCTTGCGGGGCATGAAGAGAGATGAAGTCTGTCGTGTATCGCAGTCCCATGCTTTCGAGCTGAGAGAAAGTTTAACGCATCCGTGCGCCAGGCCACCGCCAGTGCATGAACATCCTCGTGCGAGAGGAATGCGAGCAAGAGCGCCGCATAGAGCAGCTCAGGGAACTGACAGACAAGCTGCGCGAGGAGACTGAGCGCAGGCGGGTCGGCGGGTACTACCAGCAGTCATGAAGCGCCGGGCGTGAAGCCGTCCCTCTTGACGCTTGGGCCAGGATCGAAGCGGAGGACAAAGTTAAAAGCCTCATAGGGGTACTCGACTCTATCGGACGTGGGACGAGAATGCCGCTGGGCCAGTTTAGGCTGAGGGCTGCAGGACTTCAGATGCTTGTTCCAGCGCAGCATCCTGCGGCCAAGGGGGGAGTTGGAGCTGAAGGTCGCCAGTCTTTCAGTCAAGAGCCACGTCTTGGAGGAGAACGCAAAGAAGCACAAAGAGCAAATTCGTGCAACTGTGGAGGCTGGTAGATTGTGTAAATGCTTTTGGAGTCGTTGAGCGCGCGTGCAGACTTCGTGTAGATTGTAGACCGATTCTGGTGCAGGAGAAGAACGAGTTGAAGCGCCGTTACGGCGATCTCCTGACTGACAACGATCGCTTGCTTGAGGCGGGTCCAATCCGGAACAGAAGCAACTCAAGCTCTAATTTGACAAGCGCCTGAAGGAGAATGCGAGCTTGAAAGAGAAGTGTGAGAACCAGTACAAGCAGCTGGAGGCAGTCAAGCTTGAGATGCATGTTACATGCGGTGCTGTATGGGCATAGAGCACATCTGTAGCTACGTAGCTTCCTTCTCGGCTTGCCTTGGCTCTGCAGGAACTGCACCTGGAGCGCCTTCGAGAGGGCCTCAAGACCATGCTCGAGATCCAAGGAATTGATTACGAGGACACGCTGGGTGCTTCCGATCGTGCGACTTGTGGCTCTCGGTCTCATCTGGTGTCTCTGCAGGAGTTCATGCAGGAGATTGCAACCGACTCCTCCCGAGAAAAGGACTGCTTGCGAGTGCACCTTCCGAAGAGGTTCACTTCGCGCCCCGATGCGGAGCCTGTGCTGGAGGAAGAGGCAGAGGGCAGCTCGGTGCTATCGAGTGCAGAACAGCCGAACAACACGGATCAGGACTGTCGGGTGATCAGGTAGGCTAGGCCTTTCTTCGAGACGCTTGCGCCATGTTGTTAGGAAGGCTCTGACTCAGTGCCTACGCCACAGAGTCTCGGCAGAGTCCGTCACAAGGGACACAGTGGGACCCGAAGTTGGCTCTTACAAGTTAGAAGCATGGACATTCTGTCCATCCGAGGATTCACCTTCCGGAGCCGGTTGATCCAACATTGCACACGGGAGTTCATCTCCAAGGGAAAACCGCAGAGCAGCATCGAATGGAAGACGAGGACATGATGGGTACTGTCGTGTGACTTGTGGCTCTCGGTCTCAATCTTGTGTGCCTTCAGGAGTCGCTGCAGGAGACTGCAATCGGCTCTTCCCGAGAAGAGGACTGCCCGCAGCTAGCCGACTGCACCTGCTGCGGAGTTTCACTTCGCTCGCCTGACGTGGCTCCTGTGCTGGAGGCGGCAGAGGAGAGCTCCATACTATCAAGTGAAGAAGTACCGCACATCATGGATCAGGACTGTCGGGGTGATCACATAGCCAAAGTTTCGTAGACAGAGCCTTGGAAGCGGCTCTCAAACGCTTGCACCATCTTGTTCTTGAAGGAAGGCCCTGACTCAGTGCCGACGCCACTGAGTCTCGGCAGAGTCCGTCACAATGGACACAGTGGGACCCGAAGTAGGTCTTAGAAGTTAGAAGCATGGACATTCTTTCCATCCGAGGAATCATCTTCCGGCGCCGCTTGATCCAACACTGCACACAGGAGTGAATCTCCTGAGCAGCTCCTTTCTTCCTTTCGGAGACCTGGCATTTGCGAGTCGGTCGCTGGATTGCCGTGCCGACTTCCTTGCCCGGACGCATGGTTTGCAGCTGAGGACTGCGGGCTGGTTGGCTCCAAGCAGCCGCAGTCTGAGAAGCTGAGGATGGGCATTGTCCGTAGAATGTATTCAGCCCTGACGAACTTCAAGCAGCATCTGTGCAGCGTAGTGCGGTGACAGAAGAAGTCACCTGAAACGAGCTGTATACATCAAAGGAGGTACTGGCACTCTCCGTGGTGCCGAGGCTCTGCGGACGCACTTAGACTTGGCCAGCCTGCGAACACGGCAGTGGCAAGGGGCAAGGGTTTCATCATAGTTTCCTCCGCGTGCCTTTGAACAGTATGCGGGTTTCACCGTTTCAGCCACTTCGGTGGCATGAGGGTGTGTATGACACCCTGCTGTTGTTGCTGAGATTTCGGGTGGGCGCTGTTAAGTGCAGGACCTCTGGCACCAGCTGTCCCGCTCGAGTGATTCTTGCCTCGGTCTGTTGCACATGCCAAGACAACATTAAGACAAATGGTAGTAGCAATGTTGATAGTGACGAAGGTATGAAAAAGGAAAAGCAGTAATAGTCATGGTTGATTCATAAATGAAAGGGTGCTAGACTCATTGGATGCTTTTGCTTTGTCGGAGCCTCACAATGACCTCTGGGCTGGTGAAAACATGTCAGGGACATGATTGGTGTATCAGTATCATCCCACAGCCGGACGAGCCTGCCAGTGATGTTGGAGCAGGACGCTCGGGTTATTGCTGGAGGTTCGTTTGATGGAAAGTGTTGACTTCCTCCCAATGGCCCCCATGTCAAATACGTCAGGTGCAACCTGAACGGAACCTTGCACCTAAGCAGTAGACTCGAAGGCCTTAACCCGAGCATGACAGGGCACGGAGATTACGGACGAGGATCTCGTGGAGCCCTCACAGAGTATCAGAGAAACCTTCTGCAGTTGCTTGCCATTGCTGTCGTCGGTAGTGCTCTCAGCCTGGTTTCACAGCTGTTGGCTTTTGAGGTGTTCCAGGGTACGGGAAATATTGTTGGGAATGCCGTTGCTGTTTCTCATTTATCAATGTGATTACACTTACTTCTGTTCTTCCTAGTGCTCTTTTCGTCAGCAGCATCGTGAAGTCACTGGCATTCGTAAGTTCAGTGATATGGGTATTCTCTGTCAGGCGGTGCGTCTTCCTATCCGCAGTCCGGGAGTACCTTTCAGTCGGTCGGTCAGTCGTCTCAGCCACGCTCTGTGGTGCCAGAAAGTCTGAGGGTAACATCAAGACCCTCAGTGAGCGTGTGATCGAGCTCACGGAGTACCGAGCTTCGCTGTCCGAGTATCTTAAGGCGAGGCCTGCAGCCGCTAGAGGCATTTAGGATTGAGGCATTTGGATGCTGCAGTTGAGCCAGGGGACAAAAAAGCCCAGAAATCCCTAGTGATACTTAATCACCGTCCAGCTGCGCATGAACGCCATCGCCCCGAATCTGACGTACATGGTCGGGGAGCTGGTTGGCGCACGGCTCATCTCCCAAGCCGGGCCGGTACCTCAGTGCCAGCAAACTCAACTCAAGGCCTGAACAAGTCTCTGTTGTTGAGGTCGTTGATGAGCTTGGCCAAGCATCCGTCCAGCACGGTGCAGATTCTTGGTGCTGAGAAGGCCGGAGGCTCTTCTGTCAAGATTGGAGCAAAAAGCCCGTAGTCCTTATTATGGCGACTTTGACGGCAAGAGGTTCCAGCTTATGTTTCAGCATACGAGGCTGTCTGTAACCAAAGCTTGGCAATGAAGCGTCAGGGCAAATGCTGGTGCTCAGCGTCTCATGTCACCACCACCACCACCACCAACAACAACAAGAACAGAACAGGGAACAGGAGCAGCAACACGAACAGGAAGAGGATCAGGAACAGACAGGAACAACAGCAGCAGCAGCAACAACAGCGACAACAACAACCTTGACGGAGAAGGTTGAAGGAGTGCGATGTAGGATGCCTGGCCCATCCTTGCCCGCTTGATGTCTTTCTCGCTTGCAGGCGCTCTTCAGGGCTTTGAAAACCAAGAAGAGCACGCCGAAGTGCGCAGACACCATGTGTGCGTTAGGAGGCCGTTCTAAGCTTTGCACAGGTACGGTTTGATCTACCACGCCTCTTTGGTGGGCCAGTCTGCCCCGGCTTTGAAGGTCGGGAGAGAGACAGAGAGAGATGCCACGATCCTTGCTCTGACAAGCGTCGGATCGCCGCAAGGGCAAAATCTCCCGGGTCTTGGCCGCCAAGCTGTCGCTCTGCTGCCGGGTTGACGCTCTTGGAGACCAGGCCAGGAAGTGACGGGAGCTCACTGCTTGTGCAGGGAAGTTCTAGTGGTCCTGGCTCCTCTTACCGTGACATGCCCGCTGATCTTTCCCCACTTCGCCCTCGCCCTGCGATTCCAACTTGTTTCCTGCGGCAGGCAGAGTCGTCTCCCAAAGCTTTCCTCGGAAATTGCGCCCGAGTGTCTGAGCCTTTGCTGTCGGACAGGTGGAGCCGACCCTCGGGCAGGACGAACCACGGGCCACTCTGCTTTTGGTGTCGCGAACCTTGCTCAACCCCGACGGAAACTTAAACCCTGCATTGACAGCCGAGAGCCGATGAACAGGAGTTCAAAGAGTACGTGGAGAAGCGCCTGGCTACACTCGAGGAGTGGTGCGTGGAAGTTCCGTGAGTCCGCGCCAAAACAGTCCCAAACAAGCTTCAGGGTTTAGGGCAATCTATCGGAAATGCCCACTGCTCTAAGGGCCGCAGTCTTGCGAGGAGGGTGGCATGAAGTCCCAGACGAAGGGCATCAGCAGGCGCCTGGGTGAGGGCTCCGGGAGCTCCGAGTTGGGATGGGAGGAGGACGGAGGATGCTAAAGGCAGTTGAAAAGATGGATGCCAGGCCCAACGTCGGCAAGCACCAGAAGAGGCGTGGGCATGACCGCTTGGAGCGATGTTGCGGGAATGTGGGATTGAGGGGTTTGTGTTTGAGATGGAGGTTGAGAGTGTTTTGCTTGAGGAGTTTGGTTTTCAGGTTGAGGCTTAGGGAAGTTTGTTTGGTGTGGGGATTCTGCTGCCGCTGCCGGAAGCCTACAAAGGGTTTGGCCAGCATGTCTGGAGGCCGGCAGTGAAGGGCAGCGCCACGGCCTACAGCGCGGAGGACGACGTGGTTGAGGCCGGCGGCCATCTCGGAGCTCTCCATGGATGCTCCCTCAACTCCGAAGTGGCCCGTCAACCTGGGAAGAATTCATCAGAAACTGTTCCTGGATCCTGTTTGGAGCTCTCCCGGCTGGTTCGGATCCGTCAGGAAGCACCCAAGAGAAAGAAGAAGGTGGCAGAGGCGCGCCGCACTCATTTGGGTCAAATTGACGGGTCTTGGGAGCGACTGCAGGTCGGGTGGTTCCAAGTAGGCATCTGGAATGGGGTTCGGGAAGCGTGTGGGGAGGGTTTCCGAAAGGAGGAAGAAGCCGAGCCGGTCCGGCTCTCAGCCGGGCAGCTCGAGCTCGGGCGTCGGCAGGCATCCCAACTCTTGGACCCAGCGCCCGATGCCTTCGGTCCGCCCAAGGCTCCGAAGAAGAAAAAGAAGAAGGCGGCCTACGCCGAAGAGGCCACGGCGCTGAGCAGCGTCAGGGTCCCACGCCCCGAAGCCCCGAGTTTGCAGTTGGGGGTCCCAGTAATTTTGCGGGGGGGGGGGGAACGAACGACTCCGGCCAGGCAGAGGCCGAGGAGGAAGAGGAGGCCTTGCGGCGCTGTTGCCGGTGCCGCTGGCGTAACACTGGTGCTTAGCCTGGAGTGATCAGACTGCGTCTCTCGTTTTACATGCGACAGGCACCCAAGAAAAAGAAGAAGAGAGCAGCCTGAGCTGCCAAGCTGAAGCCCGCGTGCTTGCAGAAACCGCCCATGCCATCTTTCGGCCAGCATAAAGCCGTGTCCTGCTTTTCTTGCAGTCGGCATGACCTGCAAGGCACAGAAGATGACCGAATGGCTGTCGCCCCATCCCTCAAGCCCGAAACGCCCTCCCCTCCTGTCCACTGCGCTAAGAGACAGGATCCAGAGCACATCAGTTTATCAGCGTCTCGGTGAGGGTCCCGTTGAAGCGTGCAGTTCTCCTGTCATACACTTCAAGCGCCACACACCTGCAGGGTGCGTTTCAAGCGCCTTGTGTCGGAACGGAACTCCTCACCAGGAAACAGCAAGTTTCACACATGTCAAGTGACTGTACATACGTTTTGGAGCTGGGCCCTGTCCTGAGTGCAGCTGCCCAGTATTCCGTAAGCGAATGTGAAATCCATCATTGCTCGAAACGCCCGATTGTGAACCACAGTGAACCATACCGCCATAGAGATCGTGCTACTTTGTTGCCGCCTTCTTGATGCAGGCTCAATGAGTTCAGGATGGAAGATTCGTCAGGTAATGTTGAGGCTTTGTGTCCACCTAGCACCCAGCTTCCGCCAGAGGGCGCCCGCACACCTCCTGCACGGCTCCTAAATCTTGCGATGGTCGTTGGTAGTCGTATCAGCACGAATAAGGAAGTTCCGACAGCTAGGCAAGCCCGGCATGATGCCCTCGCCGAGCCTCCAGGCGAGCCCGGGCCCCCGGCAGTTTCGTCCAACGATTGGTCTAAGGGGAGCTGGACCTTGAAGGGAGCTTGTCGGGGCAAATCGCAGGCGGTGCAGTTTCGTGTCTTTGCTCTCGGTCGTGGTGCTCGTGGCTCAGGGATCTGCGTCAGTCGTTCCGAGCCGCAAGCAAGCGGCTAAAGATCGAACACAATGCCTCGACGCTGCAGTCGCACCACCGCACTGCGTGCAAAGGCATCCATGCCTTTCTCTGCCAAGTCCGAGAGTTCAAAGTCGTGGTTTCGTTCCATCACCCCTCCAATGTGCAAATCATTGCTCGAAGTCTGTGCCGGTGGGGACTCAGCTGCAGATGGGCTGGACAGATACTTCGGTTGTTCCGACGTTCCGAAAATCCTGAACTCGAGTTCTCAAAGGACGGTGTCGTGGCATCAGCTGAATCCCTACCTCGCAGCCTCGAAGTCAAAACCTCTTCCACGGCACCTGTGCGGGAGGTGAGATCTGCAGATATCTGCGGCAGAGACCTCCACGGTGTGCCATGGTGTGCCGGACTGTTTTGGGAGCTGTGTCCTTGTTGGGTGAAGGCCCGGGCTTGCGCTGTGAACTGCTCAAGATTCGGACCTGAAGCCTGGCCATGAAACCAAGGCAGCTTTCGTCGTTGGAAGCCCAGGTACGGGTGGCACGTTCCGGAGACGGGCAGATCGTAACGGAAAACCTCGCTTACGCGAAGGCGGTGCGAAACAGTTGCAGACTCAGGGCTTCGTTTGTTGGCATCCCAAGGTTTGACAGTGAGCCCAGTGCAAGCAGCAGGCTACTGCAGGGCGTAGATAAGCGTAGCACTCAGAACATCCAAGCCTGATAAGGGTTTCAGGTTTGACGAAGAATCCGAGAATGCTTCGCACCCTTCCTGCAGAATGGACAGTGAAGCCTGTGAACATGGCACCTCCCGGGAAACAAGGTCATAGCACATGAGAGAGAGCCCCAGGCCCGTGATTTTCTCACGGATCTGTCCAGAAGAACCCGGACTCGTCTATCAGCACCAAGGCCCGAAACCCAAGCTCCAACCGCAAGCCGGCTTGGATGTAAAGGAGCTCAGAGGAAGTCCCCGCACACGGATGCAGGCGGTGCGTTGGGCCTGAAGACTCGGGCGAAGGATCGGCTTGGACGACGAAGGGCTGCGAGGCTGGGAGGGAACCTTGACCAGTGCTGTCGGTATGATCTGAAGGTTTGGAATCTTCAGGGCCCCCCTCCTCGAAATCGGAGCCCGAGCCGACCTGTCTTGCCGCGCCGGCCCCGCCAAAATCCCACGGAAATGCAGGTGTGTGGTGTGTGTGTGTGTGTGGCCCGATCCTTGAACTTGCTTCGCCGCATGTGCAGCTCTCGCTCTCGCTGCGCAGCCATACGAAAGTGCATGCAGTAGGGTAACATGGGCGCAATGTCAAGAATGCATTGGGCATCGCGGCAATCACGTACGGATTGTGGGGCCGCTTGCGTGTCGTGAGCATTGTTGGCTCGCTGGCTTCCCGAAGACGGCGAGACTAGACAGGCATCAGCTCTCGACCGGTCCCAGCGGGAAAGCCCAGGATTCTGCAGGACCAGGTTGGGAGAGGCAGGGCCTGAGTCGATGTGGTACAGGAATCACCTTCCGTCAGTTTTCAATCCGGAATGGCACACAGTACAGGAGTGCATGAAAGAGTACAAACTCTCAGTTTTCAGTTTCAGACTCTTGTGAGCAATTACCGTTGTTATTGCTGGGAAGGCGCTCTGGCTGTACTTCTCGTTCTTGTTGTCTCACCAATGATTGCGTATGTGGCATCATTTGGTTGCAGCAATCAGCATTGTGCCATGTGTTAGCCTCGTGGCCCTGCAGAGAGCTTGTGGGGGCAAATGGCAGGCTGTGCTGTTTCGTGTCTTTGCTCTCGCTCGTGGTGCTCCCAGCTCACGGCTGCATGCAAGTCGTTCCCAGCCGCGCGCCGCGAAAGATCGCAACCAATGCCTTGATGCTGCAGTCGCATCACCGCACTGCAGTGCAAAGGCATGAATCATGGTCTGTCAGAGTCTGTCAAAGTCGTGGGTGTTGTTCCATCCTTCTTCCCATGTTGACTGGCGGAAAGTGTACTCCATCACCCCTCCCATGCGCCAAGCACTGCTCGGAGTCTGCGCCGGCACCTGTCGGCAGGGTCCGAGATTCGAACTTAGGAACCTCCGAAATTTTTGAACACGAATTTCCGAAAAGGGTTGTGTCGTGGTATCTGTTGAAGAATCGTCGCACAGTAAAACCTCTCCCAGCCCATGGGAGGTGAGATCTGCGGCAGAGACCTCCATGGTGTGCCTGACCGGTTTCGGAGCATCGGGCAAGCGAACCTGCATTGCTGCGGAGTGTTTGTGACTCTTAGTCATAGTGCCGTCGTGTTTGGCATTGAGGTCCCTTCACCTTTCAGGGTTTACGTTCAAGGAGCGCTGGGGGATCCTGTGCTCTCGCAAGCAGTGGGTGGTAATTAGAGGTGACCGTGGTAGTTCGTTTCCCTAAACAATGCTGCATGGAACTCCATATCTTGAGCAGTGTTTTAGCATCTCCTCATCTCGGGGAGGCTGCTGCAGGGAAGCGGCGGACAAAGTCTTTTCATGCAAAAAGAGTTTGGACCATCGAGTTAAGCTGCAGCAGCGTGCCCGGCTCTACAGACAGAAGGCAGCCTTCCAACCGCAACTGCAGTGCCTTGGCAGAGTTTCATTTCTTCGGAGAATGCATGTCTGCTTACCATCCGAGCAGACTGCTGAGCTTTTCGAAGAAAGGTCTGTGATGGAGAGGGGGCCGCCAGCTGAGCCGGAAGATCAAGGACGAGATGTGGTCCACATCTGAGAGCAGGAGTTTTCCGAACAGAGCTGTAGCAGTGTCCTCCTTCCGTGCTTGAGGATGCTTGAGCCGCCAAGGCAGACATGGAAGCAGTTCAACCTGCATCAACCGACGATCTGCAACAAGGCCCTGCTGAGGACTCGATGGCGGTGTGGCGGTCCCGTGCCTGAGCCTGCAGTTAGACCGACTGAAAGCTTGCGGGGCATGAAGAGAGATGAAGTCTGTCGTGTATCGCAGTCCGATGCTTTCGAGCTGAGAGAAAGTTTAACGCATCCGTGCGCCAGGCCACCGCCAGTGCATGAACATCCTCGTGCGAGAGGAATGGGAGCAAGAGCGCCGAATGGAGCAGCTCAGGGAAATGACAGACAAGCTGCGCGAGGAGACTGAGCGCAGGCGGGTACCACCAGCAGTCATGAAGCGCCCGGCGTGAAGCCGTCCCTCTTGAGTATGGCGCTTGGGCCAGGATCGAAGCGGAGGACAAAGTTAAAAGCCTCATAGGGGTACTCGACTCTATCGGACGTGGGACGAGAATGCCGCTGGGCCAGTTTAGGCTGAGGGCTGCAGGACTTCAGATGCTTGTTCCAGCGCAGCATCCTGCGGCCAAGGGGGGAGTTGGAGCTGAAGGTCGCCAGTCTCTCAGTCAAGAGCCACGTCTTGGAGGAGAACGCAAAGAAGCACAAAGAGCAAATTCGTGCAACTGTGGAGGCTGATAGATTGTGTAAATGCTTTTGGAGTCGTTGAGCGCGCGTGCTCCGTGTAGATTGTGGACCGAGCCTGGTGCAGGAGAAGAACGAGTTGAAGCGCCGTTACGGCGAGCTCCTGACTGACAACGATCGCTTGCTCGAGGCGGGTCGAATCCGGAACAGAAGCAACTCAAGCTCTAATTTGACAAGCGCCTGAAGGAGAATGCGAGCTTGAAGCAGAAGTGTGAGAACCAGTACAAGCAGCTGGAGGCAGTCAAGCTTGAGATGCATGTTACATGCCGTGCTGTATGGACATAGAGCACATCTGTAGCTACGTTGCTTCCTTCTCGGCTTGCCTTAGCTCTGCAGGAACTGCACCTGGAGCGCCTTCGAGAGGGCCTCAAGACCATGCTCGAGATCCAAGGAATTGATTACGAGGACACGCTGGGTGCTTCCGATCGTGCGACTTGTGGCTCTCGGTCTCATCTGGCATCTTTGCAGGAGTTCATGCAGGAGATTGCAGCCGACTCCTCCCGAGAGAAGGACTGCTCGCGACTGCACCTTCCGAAGAGGTTCACTTCGCGCCCCGATGCGGATCCTGTGCTGGAGGAAGAGGCAGAGGGCAGCTCGGTGCTATCGAGTGCAGAACACCCGAACAACACGGATCAGGACTGTCGGGTGATCAGGTAGGCTAAGCCTTTCTTCGAGACGCTTGCGCCATGTTGTTCTTGAAGGAAGGCTCTGACTCAGTGCCTACGCCACAGACTCTCGGCAAAGTCCGTCACAAGGGACACAGTGGGACCCGAAGTTGGCTCTTCGAAGTTAGAAGCATGGACGTTCTTTCCATCCGAGGAATCATCTTCCGGAGCCGGTTGATCCAACATTGCACACGGGAGTTCATCTCCAAGGGAAAACCGCAGAGCAGCATCGAATGGAAGACGAGGACATGATGGGTACTGTCGGGTGACTTGTGGCTCTCGGTCTCAATCTTGTGTGGCGTCCCTTCAGGAGTCGCTGCAGGAGACTGCAATCGGCTCTTCCCGAGAAGAGGACAGCCCGCAGCTAGCCGACTGCACCTGCTGCAGAGTTTCACTTCGCTCGCCTGACGTGGCTCCTGTGCTGGAGGCGGCAGAGGAGAGCTCCATACTATCAAGTGAAGAAGTACCGCACATCATGGATCAGGACTGTCGGGTGATCACGTAGCCAAAGTTTCGTAGACAGAGCCTTGAAAGCGGCTCTCAGACGCTTGCACCATCTTGTTCTTGAAGGAAGGCCCTGACTCAGTGCCGACGCCACTGAGTCTCGGCAGAGTCCGTCACAATGGACACAGTGGGACCCGAAGTAGGTCTTAGAATCTTAGAAGTTAGAAGCATGGACATTCTTTCCATCCGAGGAATCATCTTCCGGCGCCGCTTGATCCAACACTGCACACAGGAGTGAATCTCCTGAGCAGCTCCTTTCTTCCTTTCGGAGACCTGGCATTTGCGAGTCGGTCGCTGGATTGCCGTGCCGACTTCCTTGCCCGGATGCAGGGTTTGCAGCTGAGGACTTCGGGCTGGTTGGCTCCAAGCAGCCGCAGTCTGAGAAGCTGAGGATGGGCATTGTCCGTAGAATGTATTCAGCTCTGACCATCTTGAAGCAGCATCTGTGCAGCGTAGTGCGGTGACAGAAGAAGTCACCTGAAACGAGCTGTATACATCAAAGGAGGTACTGGCACTCTCCGTGGTGCCGAGGCTCTGCGGACGCACTTAGACTTGGCCAGCCCGCGAACACCGCAGTGGCAAGGGGCAAGGGTTTCATCATAGTTTCCTCCGTGTGCCTTTGAACAGCATGCGGGTTTCACCGTTTCAGCCACTTCGGTGGCATGAGGGTGTGCATGACACCCTGCTGTTGTTGTTGCTGAGATTTCGGGTGGGCGCTGTTAAGTACAGGACCTCTGGCACCAGCTGTCCCGCTCGAGTGATTCTTGCCTCGGTCTGTTGCACATGCCAAGACAACATTAAGACAAATGGTAGTAGCAATGTTGATAGTGACGAAGGTATGAAAAAGGAAAAGCAGTAATAGTCATGGTTGATTCATAAATGAAAGGGTGCTAGACTCATTGGATGCTTTTGCTTTGTCGGAGCCTCACAATGACGTCTGGGCTGGTGAAAACATGTCAGGGACATGATTGGTGTATCAGTATCATCCCACAGCCGGACGAGCCTGCCAGTGATGTTGGAGCAGGACGCTCGGGTTATTGCTGGAGGTTCGTTTGATGGAAAGTGTTGACTTCCTCCCAATGGCCCCCATGTCAAATACGTCAGGTGCAACCTGAACGGAACCTTGGGCCTAAGCCGTATACTCGAAGGCCTTAACTCGAGCATGACAGGGCACGGAGATTACGGACGAGGATCTCGTGGAAGCCTCACAAAGTATCAGAAAAACCTTCTGCAGTTGCTTGCCATTGCTGTCGTCGTCGGTAGTGCTCTCAGCCTGGTTTCACAGCTGTTGGCTTTTGAGGTGTTCCAGGGTACGGGTAATATTGTTGGGAATGCCGTTGCTGTTTCTGATTTATCAATGTGATTACTAGCGTTACTAGCAGTAATTGCAATTACTTCTGTTCTTCCTAGTGTGCGATTTCCGAAGGAGATTGAGCTTCAGCCTTGCGAGCATGTCATGTGCAGACTCCGACATGTCTCCTATGCCCATGGACGCTGCTGCCCTTTTCCTCTCGAACGTAAGGGAACCCTTTTGCCATAGGTGCGCAATGCGCACCCCGAGCTACACGTGGACCGCTCAGCGTGAGCGAAAGAGGAAGGCCGTTGCATGTGCTGAGCTTGCGCTGCTGTTGGCCTTGGTGATTCGGTGGTTCATAGGAGCCACATTGCTACCAGCATTGGTAGCGGAGCCTACCTTGAAAAAGGTGAGGCTCGTGCGAGAAGCGTGGACAGTGTGCAGTGCGACCGCGCTTGAGAGAAGTGAGCTGAGAAGATCCAGGGCATCGCTGTGCCTGCTTTCTGCCGTACCGGAGTACAACATGGACCGCCGAGATCGAGATACCACTCCTTCCTGGAATGGCGAAGCTGCAGGATGGAACGACTACGTCCGGAGGGTCCGCCTCCACTGGGAAAGGACCGCTCCTCGGAAGCGGAAGCAGCTAGGCGCAGAATTGGCTTCGCGCCTGACTGGCCGTGCTTGGGAGATCCTGGGCGACCTTGACCATGGCCGTCTTCAGCAGAGAGAAGGGGCCGCCTACCTGTTGGAGTACCTTGAGGTTCGCTTAGCAAGGTCCCCGATACCTGACTTGGGTAGCCGTCTCGAGGAGTTTTTGGTGAGGCTGCGTCGCCAGCCGGGAGCTCGCATGATACAGTGGTCGACGGAGCTTCGTGAATCCTACCGCCGGCTGCAGAGAGCTCTTGCGAAGGCCAGGGGCGACCGATCGCCTACCAAATCAACGACAAGGAGAACGGCACCCACAGGCACGACGCCAAAGGCTGCTTCACCGAAGTCTTCTGCTGCTGGCTCGGGGCTTCCTATAGAACGTCGCCGCAGTGATACCACTGCCGAGCCCGAGCCGCAAGCAGATCTGGAGCCAGTTCATCCGGGGGACACCTTGGATGAGCACCTGCCAGTGGCCGACGAACGCAGCCACCGAGGAGGAGAAGGATGGACCGCAGAAGAATGGGAAGCCTGGTGGAACGGGCAGACCTGGGACTCTCCGTCCCGTCGCTGGCGCTTTGGAGGAAGCTGGTGGGACAAAGGCAAGGACGACAGTGATGACGACGACGGCCCGACGCCTGAATGGGAGCGCTTCCAGCTGGACGAGATCGATGCTTTGCCGTCTGAAGTTCTGGGCTGGCTGTTGCTCCGGAGAGCGGGCTTGCCATCACATGCTCGATTGTCTGTTCTGGCCGCGACCAACAACCGGCTGGACCTCGACCTGGTGGAGAAGGCGCTCAGGGATCAGGAAGAAGATCTTCTTCAGGCCGAAGACCGCCGGGGCCCGAGGAGGACTTTCTGGGTGGAGCAAGAGGGCTCGTGGGGCCTTCTCTTGGATGAGCCGGCCGTGGAAGAAAGCCAGGGTACCATCCACTGGGTAGGCGACCGGCTTCCCGAGGAAGTCCACCCTGTCTTTGCCACCACGGCCGAGGAAGAGGACACCTGGTGCACCTACCATGGCGACTCGGAGGTGAACTGGGTCCTCTACGAGAGCGAGTGGTGGACCGAGGACCCCGAAGGCATATGGTGGAACTGGTCTGACGCCAAGCCGTGGCTGGAAGTGAACGAGGCCATGGTGCTGGACCCCTCTGCCGGGAAAGAAATGCAAGAAGCCTTGACCCTGTACCAGGACCGTGCCCGAACCTTTCGAGAGTCGAGGCAGCTTATTGCCGCCAAGAACACGGCCCGGGGCTTCTACCCCATGTCAGCCAAAGGCAGCAAAGGAAAGGGAAAAGGAAAAGGCAAGAGCCACTTTTCCGGAAAGGGCCGTGGAAAGAAAGGTTCTCCACCGGCGTCACCTTCTTCTTCTTCTACGGCGCTGGCTGCTGAAAGCTCCAAGGGATCGCAAAGGCCAGGAAATCCAGCATACACCGGTTGCTTTATATGTGGCAGCCGGGACCATGATTTTCGAAGATGTCCCAAGAGGGGCGCTGGAAAAGGAGGTGCCGCTCATGCTGTCACCGATGGCTCGTGGCAGGATCCCACTGCCTTCATGGTGCAGGGCATCCCCGACGGTGCCGCGGACATGCAACCAGAGCTTGCCACAGACTTGCCACCAGAGCTTGCCACAGACTTGCAGCCAGAGCTTGCCACAGACTTGCAACCAGAGCTTGCCACAGACTTGCAACCAGAGCTTGCCACAGACCTGTTGCCAGAGCTTGTCGTGAACCAGCCATGGGTGTACATGGTGCAGCCGGGCCTTTCTTCTGTTGCCCCCGAGGACACCATCGAGCCTCCTGAGCAACCCTTGTGCTACATGCATGTTGTGGATGGGCGGCCTTCCGAGGACACCGCCTTCGGGAACTTCGGCATGGAAGCTGTGATGGGCGTGGCGGGGCAATTGCATCCCGGCTTTGCTGTTATAGACAGTGGGGCAACAGAGACGGTCGGCAGCCTGGAAGCTATCGAGGCGGTGGTCTCAATGCGAAAGAGGCGCTATGGGCTTGAGAATGTCAGGGTGTATCCAGAGGCGAAACGCAGCTTTCGCTTTGGCAACGCCCAGCAGGAGACCGCGACCTCTTTCGTCGAGGTTCCTCAGACCTTGGGCGGCCGCTCAATTTCGTTGGGTGTGTTCGCCTTGGACGTTCCCCGCATTCCGATCCTGCTGAGCATCCGCACGCTCAAGAAGCTCGGTGCCGAGATCAATTTCCAGCGCAGGACCATTGTGTTCAAGGCCATCGACCCTGGAGTGACCATTGCCCTCCAGGAGAGTGCTTCGGGTCACCTTTTGCTAGACCTAGTGCACGACTGGATGCGCACACCCAGTGCGCAACAGAGTTTCTCCGGAACCGTCTTGAGCCAGGTCCTGCCCGCATATAAGGAGGGTGAGCGCGTGCTTCATGAGCCTGGGGGCCTACTATGTGACAATAACAACGGCGTCTTTGCACAACAGCCTCCAGGTCCTGAACCTTGCGGAAATGCTGAAGGTGATGAACAACCAGTGGTGGTGCAGAGTGCAGGTGCAGTCACGTCTCAGTTGTCGAGTTCCAGTCTTGAGGAGCCAGGGTTGCAGCATAGAAGCCATGAGCTGAGTGAGTGTGCAATTCACGTTCCCCAACATGTTCCGGTGTACGACCTTACGGCTGCTGACGAGATCTCTCAAGAACCTATGGGCGCCCTGGCGTCCCGAGAGAAATCCCGACAACTTCCCCTACGCGATCATGGCAGCCGAGTCCTCGACCAGGACCCCGGAGCCTCTGGATGGACAGTCCTTGGCCCCAGCGGCCAAGGGCAAGAACGCCCCGAAGGCGAAGGCGAAGACCAAGGGCGAGAAGGTGAAGACCGAGTACGATGTGAGCCGCAGTGTGGGACCGGACCCACGGGATCCCAGGACGGCCGGAGGTCCCTGCCACGGCAACCATGTGCCGATGAAGCCGGGCCGCGGAAGCCTTTCAGGAGCCAATGCCCACGGCCGCTGGGAAGTGTGCGAACATTGTCGTCTCCGCCTGCTCTACGTCCCAGCCTTTGGATCACACGCGCACTACAGGCAGGCCGGCCCTCTTCCTGTGGATGCAAAGAAGGCTGTGGAGATCATGGAGGAGAGGGTGGCCGCCGGAAAGCCAGCCGCCAAGGAGACTTTGAATGCCAAGGCGGTGGCTCTTCAAGGGGCGGAGGACTCTTTGTTACGCCGCCTGGAGACGGTGCGCTCCCAGAAGGCCAAGGTCCTGGGCAACAAGCAGGACACCGAGCCGAACGAGGATCACGAGCACGCGAAGCCGATCAAGGGCAACACCACGGAGGTTCGCGACGGTTACCCCAAGGACAAGGGCGCAAGGCCGAAGAGCAAAGGAACAGCGCCGCCGCCGATGGTGGAGAGCAGCTCGGAGGAGTCAGAGATGGATGCGGAAAACGAGCCTCAGCGCCTGCCGAAGAAGACCCAGAAGCGCGAGAACCCAAGGACTGCCGAACGCCAGGAAGCCGAAGCAAAGGAGGACGGCACATGGACCAAGGTGAGCGCCGCCCCCGAGGGATGAATGTGGATGCAGATGGCTACCTGGAGATCGAGGGCGTCCTTGAGGGGGAGCAGGTCGCCGCGATTCGGGACAGTGTCTCGGGCATCCTGTCTGCCTTCGATGCTGATGTTGCCGAGCTGCCCAAATCCCGGGCTGGAATCCACCTGCTTGAGGTCGGCACGTCACGAGCGAGTGGACTGAGGCAGGCTATCTCTGATCGCCGCGGGGAAGCTTCACACATGAGCCCTTTTGAGTTTGACTTTGAGCGGAAAGTTGGCGCTGATCGGGCTCTCTCTTATGCTGATGCGCTGGCCCCACGATTGCTGTGGGTATCTTTGCCTTGTGCCGCCTTGGAGAGCCCAGGAGATGAGGATCCGACCCAGACCGACGACCAGCGCCGTACCGAGATGTACCGACGCAAACGTTGCCGGAAAGCCCTCAAGACCGGACTCAGGCTGGCCGAGAGCCAGCTCGACCGAGGCAACCACTTGGTGTGGGAATGGCCCCGGAACAGTCCAGCTTGGAAAGAACCTGAGGTCAGGAAGTTTCTTGGAAAGATGGCCAAGAAGGGCATCATGAACGCTGTTGTGTATGATGACCGCGAGGCTGGAAAGAGCTGGCGACTCGTAACCACCAGTCCCGAGCTTCGAAGGATGGTGGAGATGGCACGCCCGGCCCCGGACTCGAGAAGCAGGCGCTCTCCGGCTTCTATGTCTCGGTCCCTGTCGGTCTCTTCCAGATATCCCATCAAGTTGTGCCGGGCCGTTGCCGAGTTTGCCGTGAACGTTGGGGAGTGGAGTGAGCAGAAACACATGGATCAGGTGTTTGGTCTCAGTGAAGAACCTCTCCTTGAGACGAAGCTCAGCCCAGCTGACCGCAAGCGCGCGGAAGCCTTGGTTCATCGACTTCATGTTCGTGCCGGTCACCCCTCTGGAAGGACGCTTGCTAAAGTGCTCAGGGCCCGTGGAGCTCATCAAGAAGTGGTCAAGATTGCCCTGGAGCACCAATGTGCCGACTGCCAGGAGATGCGACTCCCTGACCTGGCACCAAGCGTTTCCCTGCAGCAGAGCGAGGTGCCATGGAAGGTGATACAGATCGATAATGCTGAGCTTCGGGTGGATGACGTGGTTACCCACTTTATGGTGATCACCGATGAGGCGACCCACTTCACCGTTGTGGCGAAGCTGTTTGATAGGCCTCACCACGAGGGCCGCAATGCAACGGCTGAGGAAGCCATCCTGGCGATCGAGCAGCACTGGACCCAAGCATATGGTTTTCCAGATCGAATTCGGTGTGATCCTGAGGGCTGCTTCCGGTCTAAGTTGCTTGAGTCGTGGTGTGCTGATCTAGGGATAGAGATTACTCCGTGTCCTGCCGAAGCTCACCACCAGATCGGCCAGGTTGAATCTATGGTGAAGAAGGTGAAGCAAGATGCTATCACTCTCCTAGCAGGACATCCTGTTGGGGCGCATCGTGCCTTGCTGCACAGCGCCGCGGCCCACAACACCGTGCACAGAGTGCAGGGATTTAGCCCAGCCCAATGGGCTTTTGGGCGAGACTTTGGTGTGGATGGGCGCCTGTTTGAGAGTGAGCAGGGACTCCCGCTTGTGCAGAATGCCACCGACCCAGGGCACTCCTTTCACGACCACTTGGCTGTGAGGCAGGCTGCTGAGGATGTTGCGAGAAAGTCCCAGGCATCCTATCAGCTGGGACGGCTTCTCAACATGAAGTCTCGCAGGAAAGTGCAGTTTGTCCCTGGAGATCTGGTGTTCTATCGCAGAGTGCAGCCGCCATCGGACACCCCTGCTCATCCCGGTCTCGGCTTTGCTAAGGTTGGCCAAGGCAGATGGTTCGGACCCGCTCGTGTGCTTGCTTCTGAGACTAGGAGCGACGCTCAAGGCATGAACCGCAGGCCCACGCAGACGGTGTGGATTGTGGCCAATGGGCGGCTCAAGCGGTGCAGCCCTGATCAGTTGAGGCATGCATCGGAGAGAGAGGCCGCCATTGCTGAGGCGACCGATGCCGCAACGCCACCGTGGACCTTCCATAGCTTGCTGCAGACTCTGGAGGGGAGTGGCTTTGAGACCTTCGATGATTATGTGTTTCCCGAGGACATTGGCATTTTGCCACAGTTGCCACGAAGCCGCTCCAGAGTCAGGTCCAGGACGCCAGGACGAGAGCAACCAGAGAAGCGGGAACGAAGTGCTCAGAATCCTGCTCCTCGTGCCCCGGTGAGTGCAGCTCCCATGGAGCTAGAGAGTGAGGCCAGACAACGAGAGAAGCGAGAACGAAGTGTTCAGAATCCTGCTCCTCGTACCCCTGGTTCCTCTAGCACGCCTTTGCCGGTGGTGGATCAGTATCGTTATCTGGGTGATCCTAGCTATGATCCAACTTTGTTTCGGTTTCTCATGGACCAGCAAGCGCAAGAAGCTGCTCAGAGCGCTCCGTTGTTCAAGAAGTCCAAGCCGCCACCGCCTAAGAGCCGGGCCACACCTAAGGGTTCCAGATCGTCCCAGGACCCTGGACCAGTGCAGTTTGCCGAGCACGACGGTGGCCTGTATGAGGGGACTGAGTTTCCTGCCGAGGCCTTCGTTCATGTCGAGCCGGAGGAGAGCATCATGTGCGCCATTGAGCTTCCGGTGCCAGAGGGCGAGAACCAGTGGAAGCGAATGCGGCGTGACCCTACGGCATGGATGGCGAAGGGGCTTCGCAAGCAGGAGGTTCGCTACGGCAAGCTCGATGAAAAGGGTCGTGAGTCCTTTGATGCTGCCAAGCAAGCTGAAGTGAACCAGTGGATCCGTGAAGCCGCTGCTCGAAAGATTCAGGGAACTGTGTCCAAGGACAGGATTATGTCCATGCGTTGGGTCTTGACGTGGAAAGACTCAGGCGCCGCCAAGGCGCGAATAGTCATCGTCGGTTACCAGGACCCCGACCTAGGGTCACTGGTCTCCTCGAGCCCAACGATGAGCAGAAGGACGCGCCAGCTGCTGTATCAGCAGTCCACTTTGAGATCGTGGAAGACGATGAAAGCTGATGTTCGGGCTGCTTTCTTGCAGACGGCTCCGACTCAGATGTCTCGATGCGTCTTTGCTCGTCCAGTTCCCGAACTGGCAAAGGCCATGCAGCTGAAAGAAGGAGAGTGCGTTCAGATTGCCAAGGCTTGCTATGGGCTGGTGAACGCGCCAGCGGAGTGGTTCCGCGATATCAGTCGAACTCTGACGTCTCTCGGCATGGTCCAGCTCAAGACCGAGCCGTGCTGTTGGAAATTCGTCAAGTGGGAGAACGGAGTTCCCCGCCTCGTTGGGCTCATTGCAGCTCATGTTGATGATTTCATCATCACCGGAGATGAGAGTGACTCTGACTGGGTGGCCATTGTCGGTCGCTTCTACCAGAGTTACCGTTGGAGCCCATGGGAGGTTGTGGACTACAACCACTGCGGAGTTGCTGTTCGTGAAGGACACAAGGAGGTCATCATGGATCAGGCCAAGTACTGCGCCCAGATTGATGAGATCAAGTTCAAGGCGCGTGGTGACGAAGAGCTGGCGACTCCTGACGAGGTCAGTCAGCTGAGGGCCGCGCTTGGAGCCCTGCAGTGGCGCGCTTACAGCACGGCGCCACAGTTGCTGGTTCAGCTGAGCATGCTGCAATCGAGCGTGAACAAGGCGACCGTGAAGGTGCTGAAGCAGACGAACAAGCTTGTGAGGGAGGCCTTCCATGGACGCTTTCTGCATATGAAGGTCACCGATCTCGACGGCATCTCTCCGGAACAGGTTACGTTTGTTGCCTGGGCCGATGCGGCCGTTGGGAACCGACCCGACCATGGTTCAACAGGCGGCTATATGATCTGTGCGAGCACGCCGGCCATCCTGAAAGGAGATATGGCAGCTGTGACGCCTATCTCCTGGCGCTCAGCACGACTCAAGCGAGTGGCACGCTCAAGTCTTGCAGCTGAGACACAGGCTGCCTCTGAAGCCGAGGAAGAGCTGATGCTGATCCGCATGCAGTGGAAGGAGATGCTGGGCTACGAAGTGAACCTGCAGAAGCCTGGAGAAGAGATTGCCTCGATCCCTGGCGTCCTTGTGACAGACGCTAAGAGCCTGTACGATGTGCTCCGAAAGGAGGACTTGAACTCCGCTGCTGGAGGGCTGCACGAGAAGTACAGTGCCCTCGAGTTGCTTTCCCTGTCCGAGAGGGTGCGTGAAGGCCGAACTGAGATTCGGTGGGTCAACAGCGACGCTCAAGTTGCTGACTCCCTGACCAAGCCTACGAAACCGGGCTCACTACACCAACTTCTTTCGACAAGCCGGTGGACTTTGGTTTACGACCCTGACTTCACGAGCGCTAAGCGACTCAAGCAGCTGTAGTGACGGCACAGTTTTCAGTCTTCGTCTGTGGGCTTTTGGGCGTGCGATTTCCGAAGGAGATTGAGCTTCAGCCTTGCGAGCATGTCATGTGCAGACTCCGACATGTCTCCTATGCCCATGGACGCTGCTGCCCTTTTCCTCTCGAACGTAAGGGAACCCTTTTGCCATAGGTGCGCAATGCGCACCCCGAGCTACACGTGGACCGCTCAGCGTGAGCGAAAGAGGAAGGCCGTTGCATGTGCTGAGCTTGCGCTGCTGTTGGCCTTGGTGATTCGGTGGTTCATAGGAGCCACATTGCTACCAGCATAGTGTTCTTTTCGTCAGCATCGTGAAGTCACTGGCATTCGCAAGTTCAGTGATATGGGTATTCTCTGTCAGGCGGTGCGTCTTCCTATCCACAGTCCGGGAGTACCCGTCAGTCGGTTGGTCAGTCGTCTCAGCCATGCTCTGCGGTGCCACAAAGTCTGAGGGTAACTTCAAGACCCTCAGTGAGCGTGTGATCGAGCTCACGGAGTACCGAGCTTCGCTGTCCAAGTACCTTAAGGCGAGGCCTGCAGCCGCTAGAGGCATTTAGGATTGAGGCATCTGGATGCTGCAGTTGAGCCAGGGGACAACAAGCCCAGAAATCCCCAATGATACTTAATCACCGCCCAGCTGCGCATGATCGCCATCGCCCCGAATCTGACGTCCATGGTCGGGGAGCTGGTTGGCGCAGGCTCATCTCCCAAGCCGGGCCGGTACCTCAGTGCCAGCAAACTCGACTCAAGGCCTGAACAAGTCTCCGCAAAAGATCGCAACCAATGCCTTGATGCTGCAGTCGCAGCACCGCACTGCAGTGCAAAGGCATGAATCATGGTCTGTCAGAGTCTGTCAAAGTCGTGGGTGTTGTTCCATCCTTCTTCCCATGTTGACTGGCGGAAAGTGTACTCCATCACCCCTCCCATGCGCCAAGCACTGCTCGGAGTCTGCGCCGGCACCTGTCGGCAAGGTCCGAGATTCGAACTTAGGAACCTCCGAAATTCTTGAACACGAATTTCCGAAAGGGTTGTGTCGTGGTATCTGTTGAAGAATCGTCGCACAGTAAAACCTCTCCCAGCCCATGGGAGGTGAGATCTGCGGCAGAGACCTCCATGGTGTGCCTGACCGGTTTCGGAGCATCGGGCAAGCGAACCTGCATTGCTGCGGAGTGTTTGTGACTCTTAGTCATAGTGCCGTCGTGTTTGGCATTGAGGTCCCTTCACCTTTCAGGGTTTACGTTCAAGGAGCGCTGGGGGATCCTGTGCTCTCGCAAGCAGTGGGTGGTAATTAGAGGTGACCGTGGTAGTTCGTTTCCCTAAACAATGCTGCATGGAACTCCATATCTTGAGCAGTGTTTTAGCATCTCCTCATCTCGGGGAGGCTGCTGCAGGGAAGCGGCGGACAAAGTCTTTTCATGCAAAAAGAGTTTGGACCATCGAGTTAAGCTGCAGCAGCGTGCCCGGCTCTACAGACAGAAGGCAGCCTTCCAACCGCAACTGCAGTGCCTTGGCAGAGTTTCATTTCTTCGGAGAATGCATGTCTGCTTACCATCCGAGCAGACTGCTGAGCTTTTCGAAGAAAGGTCTGTGATGGAGAGGGGGCCGCCAGCTGAGCCGGAAGATCAAGGACGAGATGTGGTCCACATCTGAGAGCAGGAGTTTTCCGAACAGAGCTGTAGCAGTGTCCTCCTTCCGTGCTTGAGGATGCTTGAGCCGCCAAGGCAGACATGGAAGCAGTTCAACTTGCATCAGCCGACGATGTGCAACAAGGCCCTGCTGAGGACGCGATGGCGGTGTGGCGGTCCCGTGCCTGAGCCGCAATTAGACCGACTGAAAGCTTGCGGGGCATGAAGAGAGATGAAGTCTGTCGTGTATCGCAGTCCCATGCTTTCGAGCTGAGAGAAAGTTTAACGCATCCGTGCGCCAGGCCACCGCCAGTGCATGAACATCCTCGTGCGAGAGGAATGGGAGCAAGAGCGCCGAATGGAGCAGCTCAGGGAAATGACAGACAAGCTGCGCGAGGAGACTGAGCGCAGGCGGGTACCACCAGCAGTCATGAAGCGCCCGGCGTGAAGCCGTCCCTCTTGAGTATGGCGCTTGGGCCAGGATCGAAGCGGAGGACAAAGTTAAAAGCCTCATAGGGGTACTCGACTCTATCGGACGTGGGACGAGAATGCCGCTGGGCCAGTTTAGGCTGAGGGCTGCAGGACTTCAGATGCTTGTTCCAGCGCAGCATCCTGCGGCCAAGGGAGGAGTTGGAACTGAAGGTCGCCAGTCTCTCAGTCAAGAGCCACGTCTTGGAGGAGAACGCAAAGAAGCACAAAGAGCAAATTCGTGCGATTGTGGAGGCTGATAGATTGTGTAAATGCTTTTGGAGTCGTTGAGCGCGCGTGCTCCGTGTAGATTGTGGACCGAGCCTGGTGCAGGAGAAGAACGAGTTGAAGCGCCGTTACGGCGAGCTCCTGACTGACAACGATCGCTTGCTCGAGGCGGGTCCAATCCGGAACAGAAGCAACTCAAGCTCTAATTTGACAAGCGCCTGAAGGAGAATGCGAGCTTGAAACAGAAGTGTGAGAACCAGTACAAGCAGCTGGAGGCAGTCAAGCTTGAGATGCATGTTGCATGCCGTGCTGTATGGACATAGAGCACATCTGTAGCTACGTAGCTTCCTTCTCGGCTTGCCTTGGCTCTGCAGGAACTGCACCTGGAGCGCCTTCGAGAGGGCCTCAAGACCATGCTCGAGATCCAAGGAATTGATTACGAGGACACGCTGGGTGCTTCCGATCGTGCGACTTGTGGCTCTCGGTCTCATCTGGCGTCTCTGCAGGAGTTCATGCAGGAGATTGCAACCGACTCCTCCCGAGAGAAGGACTGCTCGCGACTGCACCTTCCGAAGAGGTTCACTTCGCGCCCCGATGCGGATCCTGTGCTGGAGGAAGCGGCAGAGGGCAGCTCGGTGCTATCGAGTGCAGAACAGCCGAACAACACGGATCAGGACTGTCGGGTGATCAGGTAGGCTAAGCCTTTCTTCGAGACGCTTGCGCCATGTTGTTAGGAAGGCTCTGACTCAGTGCCTACGCCACAGAGTCTCGGCAGAGCCCGTCACAAGGGACACAGTGGGACCCGAAGTTGGCTCTTACAAGTTGGAAGCATGGACATTCTGTCCATCCGAGGATTCACCTTCCGGAGCCGGTTGATCCAACATTGCACACGGGAGTTCATTTCCGAGGGAAAACCGCAGAGCAGCATCGAATGGAAGACGAGGACATGATGGGTACTGTCGTGTGACTTGTGGCTCTCGGTCTCGATCTTGTGTGGCGTCCCTTCAGGAGTCGCTGCAGGAGACTGCAATCGGCTCTTCCCGAGAAGAGGACAGCCCGCAGCTAGCCGACTGCACCTGCTGCAGAGTTTCACTTCGCTCGCCTGACGTGGCTCCTGTGCTGGAGGCGGCAGAGGAGAGCTCCATACTATCAAGTGAAGAAGTACCGCACATCATGGATCAGGACTGTCGGGTGATCACGTAGCCAAAGTTTCGTAGACAGAGCCTTGAAAGCGGCTCTCAGACGCTTGCACCATCTTGTTCTTGAAGGAAGGCCCTGACTCAGTGCCGACGCCACTGAGTCTCGGCAGAGTCCGTCACAATGGACACAGTGGGACCCGAAGTAGGTCTTAGAAGTTAGAAGCATGGACATTCTTTCCATCCGAGGAATCATCTTCCGGCGCCGCTTGATCCAACACTGCACACAGGAGTGAATCTCCTGAGCAGCTCCTTTCTTCCTTTCGGAGACCTGGCATTTGCGAGTCGGTCGCTGGATTGCCCTGCCGACTTCCTTGCGGGTTTGCAGCTGAGGACTTCGGGCTGGTTGGCTCCAAGCAGCCGCAGTCTGAGAAGCTGAGGATGGGCATTGTCCGTAGAATGTATTCAGCTCTGACCATCTTGAAGCAGCATCTGTGCAGCGTAGTGCGGTGACAGAAGGAGTCACCTGAAACGAGCTGTATACATCAAAGGAGGTACTGGCACTCTCCGTGGTGCCGAGGCTCTGCGGACGCACTTAGACTTGGCCAGCCCGCGAACACTGCAGTGGCAAGGGGCAAGGGTTTCATCATAGTTTCCTCCGTGTGCCTTTGAACAGCATGCGGGTTTCACCGTTTCAGCCACTTCGGTGGCATGAGGGTGTGCATGACACCCTGCTGTTGTTGTTGCTGAGATTTCGGGTGGGCGCCGTTAAGTACAGGACCTCTGGCACCAGCTGTCCCGCTCGAGTAAGTCTTGCCTCAGTGTGTTGCACATGCCAAGACAACATTAAGACAAATGGTAGTAGCAGAGTAGCAATGTTGTTAGCGATGAAGATATGAAAAAAAAGAACAGCAGTGATAATCACGGTTGGTTCATACATGAAAGGGTGCTAGACTCATTGGATGCTTTTGCTTTGTCGGAGCCTCACAATGCCGTCGGGGCCGGTGAAAACATGTCAGGCACAGATTGGTGTATCAGTATCATCCCACTGCCGGCAAGCCTGCCAGTGACGTTGGAGCAGGACGCTCGGGTTATTGCTGGAGGTTCGTTTGATGGAAAGTGTTGACTTCCTCCCAATGGCCCCATGTCAAATACGTCAGGTGCAACCTGAACGGAACCTTGGGCCTAAGCCGTAGACTCGAAGGCCTTAACCCGAGCATGACAGGGCACGGAGATTACGGACGAGGATCTCGTGGAGCCCTCACAAAGTATCAGAGAAACCTTCTGCAGTTGCTTGCCATTGCTGTCGTCGTCGGTAGTGCTCTCAGCCTAGTTTCACAGCTGTTGGCTTTTGAGGTGTTCCTGGGTACAGGAAATGATGTTGGGAATGCCGTTGCTGTTTCTCATTCATCAATCTGATTGCTAGCAGTACGGAAACCATTGTATCGATTGACAAGAAAGGTGACTCTACTTCCTTTGAAAACTATAGACCGATTTCATTTTTGACATCATGCTACAAGATTGTTGCCGCAGTAGTTAAAGAAAGATTGGACAAAGGGTTGGACGCGTGGCTCATGCAAACTCAATATGGGTTCCGTAAAGGTAAGAGTACGAGTCACGCAATTTTCGTTGCCAGAACATTGCAAGATATGCGAACAATTGAATTGTAGCTGCACTTTGACTTTGACATTTCTAGATTAGGAAAAGGCTTTTGACAAGATCTTTCAACATAAACAAATCGAAACTTTAAAAAGGCTGAAGGTGCCGAATAAAATTAGGCACTTGGTCGAAAGCTTCTAATAGGGCCCTGGGTTTAACGTTAGTAAGGGCGGAAATGACTCTGAATGGCGAACTCAACGTGCAGGTATAAGACAATGTCCGCTGTCACCTTGTTTATTTTGCTTGGGAATGGAAGCCCTTTTTCGGATATCAAAGTTGAACTCAACACTCCCAGGCAGCATCAGCCCATTGATGGCATTAAAAATAAATGCCATCAATGGGCTGATGCTGCCTGGGAGTGTGGAGTTCAACTTTGATATTACTATATGCGGACGACACCCTCATATTCGGGGTAAATACACATTGTGTTAATGTTCTCTTCATGCAAAAGAAAAACATTCAGCCTACGATGGTCTCTGATTTATCTATGGAAAGTGTGTTAATCTCACTGCGGACCGAAAGCAATCTTCTGTCAGATTCTCCCCCTCAGGTCCGGCTCAAGGCAGGCTTGTACCGAGAAAAAGCTTTGCCACGTACCTTGGAACCCTGCTAACAGACACCTTCGACAACAGAGCTGAAGTCTCTAACAGAATCGGTGACTGTATAGCTACATGCAACCGCCTGAATTTGTATCCCCAATGATACTTAATCACCGCCCAGTTGCGCATGAACGCCATCGCCCCGAATCTGACGTCCATGGTCGGGGAGCTGGTTGGCGCAGGCTCATCTCCCAAGCCGGGCCGGTACCTCAGTGCCAGCAAACTCGACTCAAGGCCTGAACTAATCCCTGCTGTTGAGGTCGTTGATGAGCTTGGCCAAGCATCCGTCCAGCAGGGTGTAGATTCTTGGTGCTGAGAAGGCCGGAGGCTCTGCTGTCAAGATTGGAGCAAGGGGCTCCTAGTCCTTATTGTGCGATGTTTGAAATGTTGCTGGAAGTTCATCATGCCAGGGCACGGAGACCACGCACAAGGATCTCGTGGAGCGCTTACAGAGCATCAGAGCCTCTGCAGTTGCTTGCCATCGCTGTCGTCATCGGTGGTGCCAGTAGTCTGGCTTCACAACAGTTGGCGGTCCCGAGCAAAGGAGTTTTACTTGCAAACGCCGTTGCTGCTTTCTTTGCTGTGATCACGATGAGTACGATGACCACTCTGATTACTTCCGGTTCTTATTGTCGTCACGAAAGAGAGGGAGTTGTTTCCTTGGTTTTCGGGTGGCACGTGCGTTTGCCGGGGCTTAAGCCAAACGTCAACGGGGCCGATGCAGTTCAACGGCACTTGGTACCATGCAACTCTAATCGCGGAAGCAACTTCGACCGAACTTATGCTTTGCAGTTCCTTGGCTGCCTCGCCCCAACTTTCAGAGTAGACGTCACGAACTAGAGAGAGATGCTTCTCTGCTACATTGCAAGTGCAGGCCGAAAGTTCGCACCTTTGCCGACTTCGGTGCCGTTTTGCAGTGCTCCAGCGCTGTTCAACTCATACGGGGCCAAAGAAAAGCCCCTGTGTGACTAGTCTGATTGCGGGGAAAAGTGTCGCAGTGCAGAGCATGTGGCACGAGCTCATGAGGTTTACTTTGACACAACCCCTTGGCCGTGTTGGGGTGTGTAGGTTGTCGCACACAAATAACTGACGTGGTTGTCGAAAGTTGGCTGTAATGAACAGTTCGCCCACCTCGAGTGAGACTACTTTTGAGTTGGCTTTCTGGATTGATTCGCCACCGCGGAGGCGAGCCAATGCTAGTAGGCAGGCGGAAATGCAGTCGCCTCAGTCGCAGCAGCTTCTGTCTAGCTAGTCAGTCTATGCGCGGGCGCAACTTCATGGGATGAACTTTCATCAACGAACCCGTGCATACCGGGTCTGTCCCCTCACACACACAGCAGCCAGGGACAACTGTTTTTGCCAAGATGTATCGAGCATCCAACACTTTGTGTAAACTGACGTAAGATGTTTCATAGGCATTATGGCCCGATTGATGGCCACCATATGGGTTCATGGCAGCAATTCCGCAGTGTTAAGCTCCGCTATGGCGCTGGGGGGGACCAATGCGAACTTGGCCATCGACGAAGGGCTCAAAACCGCCATAGGCGGGTGGCAGACTTCAAGAGTCTAGGCTTTGAAAGTGTGTTGAGTTCGGCTCGGATGTTTTTGGTGCAGCTGTGCATTTGTTTGCTCACGAGCATGTGACAGCCGAGCATCAGACCAATCATGATGAGTGCCACTCCCGTCCGTTCCCACCATCGTCGCCGTGGTCACAACAATCCCATCGTGGAAAGCATATCAAGTTAGGTGATAATTGATAGTCAGCGAACACACTGGCAGTACAGCTGCTTTAAAGCAGCGCTAGGGAACCGTAGGGGGCCCGGCGAAAGTGGTCTGATGTTTCCGCTGCTGCTGTGCTGCAACTCCTGCGCCTATTCCTATCTCTGTCGCTACCACCACCACCACCACCACCACCACCACCACCACCACCACCACCACCACCACCACCACCACCACCACCACCACCACCACCACCACCACCACCACCGCCAACACAGCGACTGCTGTCTCCTTGTCTGCTGCTGCCACCACTGCCATTGCAATTGTCCGCTACTGCAAGTAATCGAAACGCCAGGTGGGGAGCCGCAAGAGCTCCCTCGAGCTGTGAAGGCTGGATATGGCTGGATGATGCTGGATGTCGGGGGCAAATGTCGGGGGCACGTTTGGGTTGTTTTGGGCCGTTGAATGCCTCAGGTCTGTTCGGTCTGGGACTCAAGGGTTGTCGAGAAGGGCAATGGGTGAGAATCACGTCTCACGTAAGCCTCTGAGTGAGGCGCATATGCAAGTTTTTCTATGCAGGCTGCTCATGAAGAAAACGGATGCTAGCATCTCAAAGCCGCCGCTGTGCCTTGAGCGACAGGTCAGCGTGGACTCGGCCGCCGAGTGCCTGACACTGGCAGCCGGGACCTCACACCATCACCACTTGAGCCAGCATCATCTCCGGAAAACCAAAACCGACCATGACCATCCTCGTCACGTCGACCGTCATTGCGGGCATGCCCGTGACCATGGCCACAGCAATGGGGCCAACCAGTGACACATCACTGCCATCATTACCTTCATCACGTCCCGGCTACTCATCCCATCTAAAAAATCATGCTATCGACATGATATTGTCAACGTCAATACTGCTTGTCATCATCAACGGCTTCTCCCGCATAGAATGGTTTTGAGTGCTGAGCATCATGCTTGTGCCCCGATCCCCGCCTGACAGACTGACTGTGATTAGGATGCAGCAGGGGCATGCACCTGCCGTGTCTGTTGACAGCATATTAAGCATATTGTTGTCGCATTTGAGTGTGTGCTCTGGCGAAGTGGTAGAGCAGGGAAGTCACAGACGATTGCAACATGCTAATGGTGGTTCAAATGAAAGCACGCGGAATAGTTGTGCAACGAGTGAAGAGGGAACTTGTTGGGGGCAGAGCTTGAGTGGCGAGAGAGTGGGGTTTGACGACTCATCAGCTCGTTCCGCATGCCTAGTTGGCAACTCGAGGCTACTGTCCCCAGAGATGACAGGCAGCCTGAAGAGATCTTCGAGGCAGTCTTGTAAGAGGAATCCATTTGTTTTCAAAAGTGGTAACGGCTAGCACAAGACCGACTGAGCGATGTGATGCAGTGGGGTATGAGGGAACGGGCTGGCGCTGCATGAATGCTGTCACACCGCAGCCAGTGAAGCCTCTGGCCGTTTATGCGCAAGTGCGCGGCGATGCAGTCCAACGATTCCGGCTATGACTCTGCAGCAGAGTCAGTCTCCTCGTCGGAGGCCATACGAGCAGTGAACAGCCTCGTGCGGGCAGACCTGCACGAGGCTCGCGAGGCCTTTCAGGGCCCTCCGCTGCTTCTCTACCGTGACCGCGCGGCAGACTGGAACAAAGCGAACTATGCTCCGGAGAAGGAGTTCACAGAGGGTGGCCGCTGTACTGGCGGTTGCAGCCCGTGTTTGTTCCACAATGCGCGGCTCGGATGCCCGAGGGGCGATGCCTGTCGCTACTGTCACGAACACGACATCGGGGCGGACAGGGTGCCGCACCGGCCACGCAAGACTCTGCGCCACAAGATCAAGAGGAATGCCGAGGATCTGCTGCGAAGGTTCGAGGTGTCACCAGAGCGAGTTCATGACGAGCTCCAGGCAGATCTCCGATCTTGCCCAAAGAGCCCTGAGCTGCAAACCCTAACTAAGCCCTTAATGATCAACCCTCAGAGCAAAATTCGGTTTGAGCTCCAAGCCCTCTTCTCGCCCCCTCAGGTGTTGGCTGCAGGTAGCCAATTTGCGGTCAACTTCCTGGCAGGCCTTGCCTCAACACAACAACTGAACGGCAGAGAAAGCAAAGCTGATGCCCCTGTCGATCAAAACTGTCATCCCCCACCTTCAAAATCCTGAAGACGGACTAGACGGCAAGTCCAAGAGCAAGACCCCTGGAGGGCTAGCAGCGGAGTTCGACCCCTCTTCCCTCCATCCTGTAGCCCAAGCCCGACATCCTGAGCCCGAATCTCGACAGAAGCCTAAAAACATATCCGCGGTCCTGTAATCTGGGGCTTAGCCCCTACATCTCGAAGCCCTGATCCGGAAACAGAAAAACCAGAGACCCCTTAAACCCTGTAGCCCTGCACCCCTTGTGATCCCACAATACTTCCTAAACCCTCTACCCCACCCAGGGCCACTTCCCCAAACTCCCAAACCCTCCCGGACCGGGAGTTCAAGCTCCGAGTTGACTTACCTTTGGTTAGTATGGAATAGAGGGTTTAGGGTTTAGGGTTTAGGGTTTAGGGTTTAGGGTTTAGGGTTTAGGGATAATTATAACTACTATTACTACCATTCTTCCATTCCCTACTAACCAGAGGTAAGTTGAAGCAGGCCGTGTGCTCGGTCGGGCCGGACCCAGGGGCGGCAACCAGGCCCGCTTCTCGGGGCGAAAGGGGTAGTATTGTTAGTATATTGTCTAATGGTATATTATCACATGTTGAATTACCTTAAAGAGAAATTATAAAAATCCGGATTTCTTTCAAGTTTTGGGCCTTGGGGGGGGGTTCGGTTGTGTTTGGTTGCGTCGAGCGTGGAGGCTTGGGAGCCAACGTTTACGAGGGAGGATTGCTCGAAGCAGCATGTGGAGGCATGCAGGTCGGATCAGATCAGAGGTCCCTCCTCGCGTCCTCTATGAGGCCTTGTTCTGCCGGTCTTCTCACCACTCCTTCATGTTGCAGATCCGCTTGCTGTTGGCGTTGCGCCTGCCGTGCCGTCGCTCGAGCATGACTAGTTAGCCTTTGCCGTTGCTATCAAGGTTGCTCTTCGTTCTTTTTGTAAGGGTGGCGTGACTCAATGTTCTGACCACATGCGAAACTGCCAATCAGACCGGGAAGTGGCATGGTGAGGAGCGCGTCCTACCGAGGACGCAGAAGAACGCCATTCGATTCCGAAGTCGACCCGTCCTAGGCCCTGAACTCCTGAAGCCACAGAAGTGCCCTAGATCCAACGAAAGAATGCCAGGGGCCCACCCCAACGACGGTGTCGTCGCAGTCTCGGGCTGCCTGGGGCCAAGGTGGCCCAATGTTTACTACACCGGTGGATAGGGTTCAGTCTAGTGTTTGGCATGTTATGTTGCAGAGTTTGGGAGTTTTGGCTTTAACGTTGGGGGACTGAAGGCTTGTCAACTTGTCTTCAATGAGGCCAGGAGCATTGCATAGAGTCATGCAGTATCAGTATCCAATAAGTCATAGCGTCACGCTTGTATGTCCCGGTCAGGTCGTCGGATAGCGTCTATAGTGTTCTTGGCACAGAATGCACATGGGGTTGTTTCCAGTGAAGAGACTGCTAGTTGGGCCTGATCGCCGTGAATCGACATCGGGAAGCATCTTACCCTTGTCGGGTCCAGACTGCATGTTGATCCTGCATGTTGATTAGGATCAACATCACCATCGTCACCATCATCAACATCATCACCGGCATCCCCATCATCCCCATCATCCCCATCATCACCATCATCATCACCACCACCACCAGCACCAGCACCACCACCATGACCATGATCACCATCACCCCACCCTTACGCCCACCATCACCATGATCATAATCACCATCACCATCACCATCATCATCATCATCATCCTCACCCGTGTCCCTCATCATCATCACCCTTCACCCTGACCATCCTCGTCCTTATCTTTATCCTTATCCGCATCATCATCATCATCATAACTGCCAAGCCTGTGGCTTTAACCCAAGACGCACACCCAAAGCCTCCATGCACGACCTGTGGCCGAGGTCGACCCTCGGACATAGGACACATCGCCGATAGTCGAAGCTTTCGGGATCTCCGGAGAGCTGTCTTCGGCTGAATCGCATTACGGCTGCGGTATTGCAGAGGCTTCAAGGCTTCAGGGTGTCATGATCCCCAGATCCCAGAGCTTTTCGACATTTTAAGCTGATCGCAGCACTGCATTTGCACTCGTTCAAAGGCATCAGATTGCCAAATCAGTTGCATGGGAGGACGAAGCATGGGTTGTTAGGAGATTGTCGGGAGTTCTTGAGGGTTGCTGGCACAAGCTGTTTGATTCGTTTTCATGGCGGTTCGCTTAGTCCCCAGCCTTTCCTGTGGGTTGCGTCTCCACAACCGGAAGGAATTCACTTGGCGAGGGAGCCCTGTTATTTGAATTCTTTGCCAGGGACGTGGTGTTTGTCTTTGAGCTACGTACTTGTATGTGTTGGGGAGTCTCATGCTGCATGATGGTTTTAAACGCCTTAGCTGCTAAACGGCAGCAGAGGCCTCGTCTCTTCGCAAAGGACATCTTGATTGTCAGGACTGTGGCCCCCTTGTCCAACCAAGTCGCGGTGCAAGCTGCAGATCCGAACCTCGCAACCTGCATGCGCCTGCTAATAAGTAATACACTTCCAAAAGTTGTCTTGTTGACTAGAGTTTTAGGGGTGGGAGGCGTAATGCTATGTAATCGTAGTCGTCGTAGTTATACTGGTCGGTGTTCGAGTGTCGATGCCATGGTGTTTGTCATTATGATGGCATATGATCGCTATTTTCATGACTACTATTCGTTGTGGTGCTGTGTGCACCAGTAAGTCGTATAGCAGCTATAGGGCAGATTGGGGCAGTACGCTTGATAACACGAGTCACCAGTCAGTAGTCACGACACCGATCGTCAAGTTGCCACAGTGACATAAAACGCAAGTAACCATGCGACCCTGAGCGCTAGACGATTGTAGTATCCTTATCGAGCCCTGAAGGGAAATCAGTGCAGACTGCGAGCTATCGGTCGTGGCTTAGCTATGTGGGCCTGGCTATTTCAACCGCGCTTACTTTGAGCGGTTCTTGACAGCCACCCACCCAATGTTCTGAGATGTTCTATCAACTGTTCTTGCAGACGCAATCATGGGCCCCGTTCAGAACGGAAGAGCGGAAAACTCCATACAAACCGTCCGGCCAGCCCTGTCGCAGCCTGCTCCGCCCGATCCGTGAGGAGTAACTCAAGGAAATGTCAGCATTAGCAATCATGAAAACTGTCGTTAGCTGCTGCGTTGCAGGGTGGCTCGTTCTGTTCCTACGTGACAGTGGGGGCGAGCGTCGATCAGATGCCGCACCCGACGATTTCGCGATTTATACAGCAGGCATCTGGAGTGAAACTCATGTGCCCCTTTCTAGAGGCAACGGGAACCTGATGGAGGGCCGTCGGGGCAAGGGATCATCTGTCAACAGTCGGCAGAGGAACCCAAGCACGCTTCTGCGGAAGGGATCCTGGATGCATCCAGTTTGAGTTGGCAGAAAAGGCGCCGGAGTTCGTGAAACCTTTGTGGCTTACTTTCCTTGTGGTGCTCTGTCAGTAAACTAACCTAAGCCGGCATCAATGGCTAAGTGCCGGATATGGTCCAGGCCGTGGTCGCAGAGCTGAGCGACTCGGAACCGCCGGAGTCCCGACTAGGGCCTATATATATATATATATATATATGTGCATAAGGCTACTGGAACCTTAACGATGCATGTGTCAAGAGGCAGAAAGCAGGAGTTGCAAATGATGGCAGCGCCACACCGGGGACCGTAGGAGCAATTCATGCAAGAGCAGGCTCCTGTGATAGCCCCCACACGGATGTAAGCATAGTGAACTCTGACACACACGCACATGTTCAACATGGTGACGGTGAAGGTCGGTCGGGGGCTTCTGTGGTCTCTTACCTCTTATCTTTCAGAGATTGGTTTATCCTTTGCGGTTGGAAAGCCTAAACTGTTATTTTTTCATACGACAGCAGTGAAAAGAAGGAAGCAGGCTTAGAAACTCCTGCAGGTCCTGAATTAACAATGACATCCCATACTCCAGAGGCTTTATCGAGTGCCCAGATAGACGGCAGTCGCATCTCTACAAGACGTCTCTATTGTTGTTGCGGGGGTTTGGCCCGAGAAAGCGTATGGTGGCACGGACGCAGCCGGTAGTCGTAGCTCAGCGATATGCCGTCTCCCGTGATCACAAGTCAATCTGGGTGGACACATTTAGCTTCAGGCCGTTGATCTCCGACCGAAGGCCTCATTGTAAGCCCCCGATGTCAGTTTGCGGAGGCTAAGGGCACGTCTCTCTCAAGACTTGCGGCCCTCTATGGCTCCTGAGTACAGGCCAGGAGGCAGAAGAACTTGGAATCCGATTGATTCCGCGAAGTCGCTCCTCCGCACCCAAACCCGGACCGAAAAGAGAGATCTTTTGTGGCGTTTTCTAAATCAAGTCTTCGGATTAGCTTCAACTCGAATTACGCTTCCAACCCATCAGGCCCTTTAGCCCCGAGCCGATTCCCGCAAACTCCAAGATTCAGGCCCCGAGCCCGCAGCCCAAAACCCTTAAAGCTCTGGGCACCCAGGTGCTTGGTTCTGGTGGCCTTAGAGGGGCTGCTGCCGGATGCTGCCTCACCTGACTGGGTGGGGGATGGGAAGGGGGCGCGGGTGGAGTTTGAGAGGGAATTCCGCAACTTGGAGTCCAATACTCTGCACCCGTCAGGCGATGATAGCCTGGACTCCTGCCGTTGGGATCTCGGCTTCATGTGCGGAATGCGGCCGTTGTACATCAGCTAGCTCTTGCGATGCTACGCATGTCCTCTCGTAGTAACAGTAAGAGTACAAACAACAGCAGGAACAGAAACAGTGAAAGTAATGGTAATCTCACAGTCTTGTTGGTAGCAGAGCCCTGCCGCGAGGTTTAGGAAACCCTGATTTGCAAACTCTCCACGAGCCGCCACCCTCAGAGGTGCGAAATGTTGTTTGGCAGACCCAGACATTCCTATGACGGGGCATTTCGGAACAGTCCCGTGCGCGGAACGGGCTGGGTTCTGAACCTGCCTGCAAGGGCGTTTTGGCATGATCAAGACCTCTGCCGGGGGGGTTGCGCGGACCCATCCAGCTACCAAAACAAAGCCCATTCCGGGGAGGGGAAAAGGCCTTTAAGTGGTGGTCGGCCGAGGGCAGGGCCCGGCAACAACTCTGGATCTGTGTTTCCGCCTGCTCCAAGACCAGTACCGCAACACTGCTTTCGAGAGAGTGCCGAGAGAGTGGAGGAGTCGATGGACTTTGTTTCCAGGTGTGTGGATACGGGCAACAGGCTGCACAGGCAGGGGAAAACTGACGGGGTAGTGCCCAGTGCCAAGCTTTCTCGCCATCACATAAGCGACTGTTGGAGGAAGTCCGGGGGTTGCTTGGGCGATCAGCCTGGATCTTTTTGCCACCTGCTCCAGGGGCAGAGCGCCAGGTGGGAAGGTGACCCGAAAACTGGTGACCAGAGCGGAAAAAGACCGTGCCAGGCAGGAACGAGACCCAACACAGGCCGAAAAGACCAAGCCCGAAACCCTGTCTTGCAAATCCCTGGCCCTCTTTGTGGATCTGAATATTTCAGCGTAGACTCAGACTGAGACTGAATGCGTGGCACGTGGTCGCATCCCAGAGGTTTTGGTGCTTCCAGGTTGTTGACAGTAAAGTGATGACGCCGCTGTAGGATTCGCCGGTAAAGCTTCGGATGCTCTGTCGGCGGCCCGGAGATGCTGGAATCTTGAGCACGTTCAACATCCTTGAACCGCAGAACGTATACGCTTGGTTGTCGATGGTACTGAGAGTAGTATTTAGAGCACCCGTGGTTAGTTTTGGCAACGCTGTCAGCACTGTTGATGCCACCCATGCTGAGAAATGTGGTGGTGGCGACCGCGACGAGGAGGGTGTTGGTGATTGTCAGATTGGTGATGGTGATAACGAGGCAGAGTCGGAGGACAATGAGTGATGGCAGT